AGTGAGGTGGAAGATCTCTCTCTCCATCTCTCTGTCTCTGTCTCTGCCTTTCAATTGAATAAATGGAAATAAATGAAAAAAAATATGAATAAATACATTTTTTAAAAAATTGAGAATGAAGATAGAAGAGGGTAGAGGATCAGAATTTACCATTAAATTGTAGTTTTGGATTTCTTTTTTTGTTATTGTTTACTTATTTATATAATGGCAAAACGACAGAGCAAGACCTTCCATCTACTGGTTCAATTCCCAAATGCTCACTGTAATAAAAATTAAAACGTGAAAACAAATGTTATAGCTTTTTTGAGAAGTATGTGATGGTTAAGATCACAGGTTTGGGATTTAAACAACCCTAAATTAAAATACACCTGTTAACCTTAGGTAAGAAGATCAGCCTACTAGTCCATCAGAAAGAGCGACAGATGGTGGGAGAAGGAGAGCGAGCTTTCATCGCTGACTCAGTCCCGAACAGCACACAGCAGGGTGCAGGCCGGGCTGATGCCAGGGGCTGGATCTGCCCAGGTCTTCGTGGAGTGGCAGGGGCCCGAGGGGTTGGGCCGTTCTCTGTCTTCCCAGGCACAACAGTAGGGAGCTGGGTCAGAACCAGAGCAGCTGGGACTTGAAGTGGCATTCTGATATGGGGTCTCTCATCCTACCACACCCCAACATTGCCCCCAGCTTTGTGTTACTTCTCTGAGCCTCTTGCTGCCTCAGCTGTACGGTGGGCACGATGACCCCATCCTCCCAGACCTGTAGGAAGCGTGCAGGCGTGACACCAAGCTCCTTGCACAGGACTGGGCAAGTGCTCTGAGGTCCTGGGAATGCAGCCCTGCTCTGCCCCTTTGCCAGTGCTCGAGGGAATGGCTGGGTGGTTGTGGGAAATGTAATGACACCTCTGTGACATGTGGCATGTGCTGTCACATGTGTGCCATGTGCTGCAGTCCATACCTCCCGGCTGGGCACTCCCCAGTAGGAGGTGGGCACCATCGCTCCTCCTGGGGTTTTTCTGGAAGGAGAGATGTGGCCCTCCCTCAGCTGCTTTGTGGGTGGGTGCAGTCTGCGTCCCCACCATCCTCCCTGGGACAGAAAAGGGGTCCTCCTTTTGCAGGGTTAAGCCTGGCTATTGGATCACGTCCGACCAATATGCCCTGGGACCGAGGAGTTTCCACTTCTTGGGCCGCAGCCCCTCCTGGTCCTCTGTGTGTATTGACTGATGCTGACTTGATACTAACCTGAATCCAGGAAAGCTGAGTGTGTGTTCAGCTGGTCTCCGCTGCTTTGTAGAGGCCCGTGTCTGTTGGTGGGGAGAGTGTAGTTTGCAAGTCACTTCTTTGCCTTCTCACTGGAAGTGACGTGGTAGCTTACCATGGAGGAAACATCAGGTCACACTTCTTTAAAAATAACACTAGCTTTTTGTCTAAGTGTGAAGTATTCCACGAGCATTGTGGAAAGTGTAGACATTCCATCTACAACCCCCTGCACTAGCTTTTTTGTTTGGAGATTTAAGTCTTTAAAAAATTAAAATGATTTGTAGGTTTTGATTTAAGTTTCTAAGTATTTTGTTTATTTATTTTTATCTGAAAGATTTTTACAGAGAGAGTAAGGTTTTTCATCTTCTGATTCACTCCCCAAATGGCTGCAGTGGCCGGAACTGAGCTGATCCAAATCTGGGAACCAGACCCTGGTGCAGGGGGTCCTCCCACAGGTGCAGGGGCCTAAGGACGGGAGGAGGAGCCTTTATTAGCCAATTTGGGGAGGGGGTCGCTCTGCTGCATTCCGGCGTCCCTGCACGGCCCCCCCAAGTCAGGAGTTCTTAAGCTTGCTTTGCCAAGCAGTAGTCACGGTATGAAGCTTCCAGCCAGCTTCAGTTCAGAGCACGCCGTCAGCCAGCCGCCTGGGAAGCTTGTTACAGAAGCAGATAGCTGATGTGTAGTTATGCTTGAAACTTTCAGATGGAGTCACTTCTACCCACCGCTGTGGGGTGATGTCACTGGTTGTACCTTGCCATACTTCAAAAACCTGTTCTAAATGGCGTTGTATCAGCAAATGAAGTGATGGGAGGGTAACCAGCGTAGGACTGCACTGTTGATGTAAAACAAAACCTGCCGCCGGTCACCCTTGAGATGCTGTCTCTGAGGAGGCGTGCGTGGTGTGGCGGCAAGGGAGCAGGGCTCCCGTCCCACAGACTTCCTGCGTGCCGGACTGAGTAGACGAGCATGGCTGGAGAAGACAGTGTGCGTGCCAGAGTTACCCACTGCGGCCGTGGCAGTCGCCCAACGTAAACACTGCTGCTGCCAGCGGGGCCGGTCAGGGCTCCCGAAGCTCCCGGACCCCGCCTTCCTGAACCCTCCCGCCTCCGTGAGCGCCCCCTGCGCGTGGCCGGGCTGCACACACCATAGCTTGTTGGCTCAGGTTCCAGCGGTGCGTGCTGCCCACCTGGTTGCTGTATGTGGTCATGTTCTGAGCCCTCGGTTCTCTCTCTGGCCCAGCCCAGCCCTGGGGATTCGGCCAGGAGATTTAGACTCTCCTCTGCTACGCATGTGTCCTTGGGCAGCTTCTCTTGTGCCATGTAAGTGGCAGCGGGCGCGCAGCGTCCTTGGAGGAGGTGAGAAGGCAGCCGCTCCGGCAGCCCCTGGGGCTGGTGCTCCGAGGCCCGAGAGCCGCCAGCAGCCCGCGGCTGTAGTTCTGGCTGCTTAGCAGCCCCCGCACCATCTCCTCCGCTGCCCTCCCCACCGGCCGTCTGGTGGTTTTGTGTGGGAACTGCTACAGGCCACTTTGTCCCACTGGGAAGTGGAAGTGGAAGTTCAGCAGAGCTTCTGGGAGGACAGGGCAGTCCCCAGGAGCCCCAAAAGGAGGAAAGGGGGTCACAGAACAGGGAAGCCAGGACTGCCCGAGGCATTGCCCAAGCTTTCACCTTGGGACCGGGATTTTCACAAGTGCAGAGGGGAAGCTGGCCAAAGCCTCGGCCGGCTGGCCAAGAGAGGAAGTGGAGCAGCTGTGTCTCTCCCAGGAGCTTAGTCCAGGCCTCTCCCTGAGCTGTGTGTACAGTTAAAAGTGTGTTTATTTTGGTGCAGAGAAGGCTTTGGAATCCATACACAGGCTTTTGTTTTGTTTTTAGTTTATTTATTTGGAAGGCAGAGCACCAGAGGGAGCGGGAGATGGAGATAGGCAGACAAATGTCCCATCTGATGATTCACTCCCTGAATGGCCAAGGCTGGGGCTGAGCCAGGCTGCACCGTGAGGACGTGGCTGAGACTTGAACCAGCACTCGGGTCTATGCGGCACATCCATTCCAAGCAGCTGCTCATCCTGCTGCTTTAATGTTTGCATTTCGTGTGACCTTCTCAAAGACCCCTTGTCTGTTCCTGGTCCTTCAGTGAGAGCGTGGACCAGGAGAGAAATCCCTCCTAGGGGCCGTGAGGTGCGCAGCAAGCCCTGGGCTGCCGGCATGGATCCTGCTGCTGCTTCTGCAGCTGTCGGCCCTGGCCTGCCACGGGCCTTTGGTGTTTGAGGTCAGCACCGTCCTAGGGACCCTCGGTGCAGAGATGGGGTGTTGCTACTCACACCAGAAAGCAGGCTGCCTGCTGGCTGAAGGTATGGCCGCCTGGGAGCATCGTTCTTGACAGGAAGCTCAGTCGTTTTATGCAATATCAAGTGTCTTTGTGGAACCCAGGCTTAGAAATACCCGCTGACACTGTTGTACAGGCCTGGCTGAGTCGAGGTTGCACTGGTAGAGTGGGGTAAATGTTTGCCCACGTGGCGTGGTTTTGGCAAAGCTCAGGATTTTGTTTTCAAGAGATTCTGTCGCACTTGCTGATTCCAGGCATTTCTGTTGCATGAGGTTTCTTCCTCAGAACCCTCCTTATACTATATAATATTTTTTTTAAAGATGTATTTGTTTTCGTTGGAAAGGTGGGCATACAGAGAGGAGGTGAGACAGAGAGGAAGATCTTCCGTCCGATGATTCATTCTCCGAGTGAGCACAACGGCTGGAGCTGAGCCAATCTGAAGCCAGGAGCAAGGAGCTCTTTCGGGTCTTCCATGCGGGTGCAGGGTCCCAAGGCATTGGACCTTCTTCAACTGCTTTCCCAGGCCACAAGCAGGAGCTGGATGGGAAGTGGAGCTGCCGGGATTAAAACCAGCACCCATATGGGATCCCGGCGCGTTCAAGGCGAGGACTTTAGCCACTACACTATCGATTTGGGCCCTACTATATAATTTTTAAGTGCAAAGAAGCCTTTAAAAAAAAATTGACTTGGGCCCTGCGCGATGGCGCAGTGGTTCAGGTCCTCGCCTTGCACGCCCTGGGATCCCATATGGGTGCCGGTTCTAATCTTGGTGGACCCGCTTCCCATCCAGCTCCCTGCCTGTGGCCTGGGAAAGCAGTTGATGACGGCCCAAGGCTTTGGGAACCTGCACCCACGTGGGATTCCCAGAAGAGCTCCTGGTTCCTGGCTTCGGATTGGCATAGCATCGGCCGTTGAGCTCACTTGGGGAGTGAATCATCGGACGCAAGATCTTCCTCCCTGTCTGTCCTCTCTGTATATCCGCCTTTCCAATAAAAATGAAGTAAATCTTAAAAAAAAAATTGACTTACAGGTTAAAAAGTTAAGGTGCAGGTACACTCTGCAGTAGCAGGGGGCGCCACATGCCCCCCCCCAACTGCTAAGAAAGTCTGTGTGAGCCCATTCTTGGGGCGTCCTTGCCATCCTCCCTACCTGCCTGTTTCCAGCACCTGTATTGAGTGTCCTCTGTTGCCCCCCAACCTTGCCAGGGCCAAAACATGCTGCTTCCTGTCCCCACGTGCTCATCCCAGCTGGCTGCTGAGTTTGCCCTGGAGTGAGCTGACCCGGCCCTGTGCCTCCTGCCATCGTAGGCCTTCCTCATGAGCTGCTGTGTGCATTACCAAGGCCATGGGGACCCTGGCTAGCGGAAAGCTGGACACAAAGAACAGGTTAGCTTGTGCCCCTGACTGATTCTGCCACTGTACCCCGCTGTAGGATGACGTGCGGCATAAGGTGCACCTCAACACCTTTGGGTTCTTCAAGGACGGGTACATGGCGGTCAATGTCAGCAGCCTGTCGGTGAGCGAGCCCGAAGGAGCCACAGACAAGGACGCGGCCGTGAGTATCCGGGCCTGGACGGGACGTGGTAGGACACGGAGGACATCTCGTGGTCTTCCTTTGAACACCTGGGTCATAATTCTTTTTTTTTTTTTTCTGTTTTTAATTGTGATTTTTGACCGGGTCTAGTCAGTAGTGAGTTGATGTAGGTAGGTGTCCCTCCTTATAAAATGAAGGCTGAGAAAGCCAACAGGAAGTGGACCACCCGCACCTTTTCTGCTCTTTTTTTTTTTTTTTAAAGATTTATTTATTTTTATTGGAAAGGCGGATATACAGAGAGGAGAGACAGAAAGGAAGATCTTGCGTCTGATGATTCACTCCCCAAGTGAGCTCAACGGCTGATGCTATGCCGATCCGAAGCCAGGAGCCTCTTCCGGGTCTCCCACATGGGTGCAGGGTCCCAAAGCTTTGGGCCGTCCTCGACTGCTTTCCCGGGCCACAGGCAGGGAGCTGGGAAGTGGGGCTGTCGGGATTAGAACCGGCACCCATATGGGATCCCGGGGCGTGCAAGGCGAGGACCTGAACCACTGCGCCACCGCGCCGGGCCCCTTTTCTGCTCTTTAATAAGAACGATGTGGGGTTGGAGAATTTGGCTCCACAGTTAAGATGGTGATTGGAGTGCCAGAATTGGGGCCCTCAACGGCTTGACTGATTAATGTTGCTTAGGCCACAACACCAAATATTGGAATGCTGGCATGAATACCAACTACTACTTTTTTTTTCTTTTAAGATTATTTTTTATTTGAGAGACAGAATTATAGAGAGCAGGAGAGACAAAGGCAGAAACTTCCTCCCTAGTGGCCACGGTGGCTGGAACTGAGCTGATCCGAAGCCAAGAACTGAAAGCTTTTTCTGGTTCTCCCACATGGGTGTAGGAGCCATCCTCCACTGCTTTCCCAGGCCATAAGCAGGTGGCTAAATTGGAGGTGGAGCAGCCAGGACTTGAACCAGCGCTGTATGGGATGCTGGTGCCGCAGGCTGAAGCTTGGCTTACTGCTCACAGTGCCAGCACTCGCTGCTCTGCCTGTTGCTGTGCGTGGGAGGCATGGTTGATGGCTTAAGCACTTGGAATTCCTGGCTTCAGCCTGTTCCAGCCCTAGCCACTCTGGCCATTTAGGGAATGGACCACTGACTGAAAGAGCTCCCTCTCTCTGCCTTTCAAATAAATAAATCTTTAAAAATCTCGCACTGCGTAGGGCGTCCTCATCCTGTACTTCCTGGGGAGCAGCAGGTGACAGCTCAGCGCGTGGGTCCCTGCCACCATGTGACCAGGGTCTGGACCTCTGGCTTCACTCCAGCACAGCCTGGCACTTTGGAGCATTTGGGAAGTAAATCAGAAGATGAAAAATTGTCTGTCCCTGAAAATTGTCTCTGTCCCTGCCTTTCAAGTAAAGTGGAAGTAATTTGGAAAATTTTAAATTAAGTAATCAATTTGAAAGGCAGAGTTATAGAGAAAGGGAGATCTTTTATCCGCTGGTTCACTCAGTGGCCAGAGCTGGGTTTGGTGGAACTGGAAGCTTCTTCTGGGACCCCCATGTGGGTGTACGGGCCTAAGTCCTTGGACTGTCCTCGGTGCTTTTCCAGACATGTTAGCAGGTAGCTAGATCTGAAGTGGAGCAGCCGTGGGAGATGCCTGTGCAGGGCTGGGGGCCTCCCTGGCACGCCACAGCTCTGCCCCGTACGTGATTTTGAAGAAATGCTTAATCATGTGGATGTTTACCTCGCTCTCTGTTTTCCATCCCTTCCCCACCCACCACCTGCAGATTGGATTCAGCCTAGAGCGTACGAAGAATGACGGCTTTTCCTCCTACCTGGTGAGTCTTCATGCCCTGAGTGTGCGCTTGAGCACACGACGGGAAGTGCGGGCACCGTGCCTTTTCCTCGGTGGCAGGTGCTTGGCTTCTGGTCTTGTTCAAATGTGGGTGAATGAGAAGGGGTGCTGTTGGTTCTTCATTCCTCAGGATGAAGATGTGAATTACTGTATTTTGAAGAAGCAGTCCGTCTCCGTCACTCTTCTGATCCTAGACATCCCCCGAAGTGAGTAAGTAATTCTGCTACTGTTCCTCTTCCCCCTAGAGGGAGGCTGCGGGGAACTGGGCGCCCGCTGCCTGCCACGTGCTGTGCTGGGTGCTGAGGGCGAAGCAGGGTGGGGAGACAGAGGTCACTCGAGAAGCAGGGGAGGCAGACCAGATGTGGGAGCATCCCAGCAAAGCAGACATGGGGTCTGGGAGGGCTGTGGGGCCCAGCAGTGTTCCAGGGAGTCAGCTGTGACCAGGGGACTCAGGACAGGGAGAAGCTGTCAGGCAGAGTTGGTGTCGTGCCCCGAGGCAGGGGCCGGGAAGCAGCAGGGTTCAGTGGGCTGAATTCATGGCCAGCAGTGCAATTGGAGGGCAATGGTAAAAAGCCAGTGGGTCCAAAAAGTGCCACCTGCACTCCATGGGCTCTGCATACAGCTCAGAACTCTGTGACCCCACCTGCCTCACCGAAGGGCAGCCGGTGAGGGTTCCTGCTCCCTGGGTCTTTTTGCAACATTTGACAGAGGTGATGGGGGACCCTGTATTGAGGGCGAGCACACTGCCCAGTGGCTCCCAGGCCGCTGTGTGTGCTGCTGAGGGAGCCATTGGAGGGGTTAGGCCAAGAGCGCTCTGCTCACACTTGGCATGAGGTAGGCCTCGAGCAGCCCGGGAGAAGCAGGGCTCGAGATGGATAAGATTGGAAGGAAGAGGACTCACGAAGAAGCTTCCAGAAAAAAAAAAATGTACCTTACCACAGACCACTGTAGATTCTAACTCTGTACCTCTGCCTTTCAGAGAAATCAAACGTGAATTTTTTTTTTTTTAAGATTTGCTTATTTATTTATTAAAAAAAAAATTTCATGAGGCTGCTGGGCCTGTCTCATGCATTTTAAGCCAGGCACACAGGACCTTCCAGTTCTGTTTACAGAAACCAGTTTGGATGAATCAGCTTACTGCTTACTGCCTGAGCTCTAGGACAAACAAGTTCTCATCCCAGAGTGAGACAAGCACTCTCACTTTTATTTTATCTGTTTATCTATTTATTTGCTTTCTCACTTTAAAATTTGTTTTGGGCCTGGCGCGGTGGCGCAGTGGTTTAAGGTCCTTGCCTTGCACGCCCGGGATCCCATATGGGCGCCGGTTCTAATCCAGCAGCCCCGCTTCCCTTCCAGCTCCCTGCCTGTGGCCCGGGAAAGCAGTCAAGGACGGCCCAAAGCTTTGGGACCCTGCACCCGCGTGGGAGACCCGGAAGGGGCTCCTGGCTTCGGATCGGCATAGCATCGGCCATTGCGCTCACTTGGGGAGTGAATCATCGGATGGAAGATCTTCCTCTCTGTCTCTCCTCCTCTCTGTATATCCACCTTTCCAATAAAAAAAAAAATTAAAAATTTTTTTATTTTATTTTTCTATTGGGAAGTCAGATACACAGAGAGAAAGATCTTCTATCCGTTGATTCACTCTCCAAGTGGCCGCAATGCTTGGAGCTGAGCCAGTCCAAAACCAGGAGCCAGAAGCCTCTTCCAGGTCTCCCACACGGGTGCAGGGTCCCAAAGCTTTGGGCCGTCCTCGACTGCTTTCCCAGGCCACAGGCAGGAAACTGGATGGGAAATGGACACCAACCAGTGCCCATATGGGGTTGTGGTGCATGCAAGGCTAGGATTTTAGCCACTAGGCTGCTGTGCCAGGCCCTGCACCCTCTCTTGTCTGTTGGGAGTTTCCAAGAACCCAAGGTTGTGGCAAAGATCAGGTTAGGGACATGTCGCAGAAGTGTTGCCGAAGACCTAGCCTTCCTGTCGCCATTTTCTGTTGTCTGGGCTGGCACAGGCACCTGGTCCAGGGTGTGGATGGGTCATGTGCCATCCTGATGCTCAGCCAAGCACCTGCCCCCAAGCGCTGTTTTCTAAAATGTTTATTTTCATCTGTTTGAGAGAGGGAAATCTGCCTCGTGGGACTGGGCTTGCCGGAGTCTGGAGCTGGCGCTCCAGTGGGGCATCCCATTGAGCAGCGGGGACCTAAGCATGAGGGCTGTTGTCTGTTGCCTCCCAGAGAGTACCGGCAGGAAGCTGGATTGCAAGTGGAACTATTTAAACCCATACTGTGGGCCCAGTGTGATAGCCTAGTGGCTAAAGTCCTCACCTTGCACACGCCAGGATCCCATATGGGTTCATATCCTGGCTGCTCCACTTTCCATCCAACTCCCTGCTTGTGGCCTGGGAAAGCAGTCGAGGACGGCCCAAAGCCTTGGGACCCTGCACCCATGTAGGAGACCTGGAAGAGGCTCCAGGCTCCTAGCTTCGGATTGGCACAGCTCCGGCTGTTGCAGCAGCTTGGGGAGTGAATCAATGGATGGTAGATCTTCCTCTCTGTCTCTTCTCTTCTCTGTATATCTGACTTTCCAATAAAAATAAACAAATCTTTAAAAATAAATAAATAAATAAATAAATGAAAAATAAGTAAATCTGACAATTAAAGAAAAAGAAGGTCCCGAAATGGGGCAGGTGGGTTCAGGTGAGACAGGCCTGCAGGACTTGCTGTCCGAGGCTGCCTGTTCTGCCTGTCTCTGCTCTGCCCGCCTTGGACTTGGCTGCTCATCTCAGGTAAGGCTCCTGGTCGTCAGATGCCAGATGACCCTGCTGCAGTGTTCAGTTCCAGCCCAGGAGAGAATGCTGCTTCCCTGGGTGGGTCATAGAGCGTGCCAGCTTAGGTCCACCTGCTGTCTGGCTGGGAGCCAGCCGCTGCTGGGCACGGAATGGAGTCTGTGAGGGATGGTGAATGCCTTAGGATCCCCACACCCCATGTCAGATCCTGGCAACTTAACCCTTCAGTTCCTTTTCACAAATGCTTGTTTGTTTTACTTATTTGAAAGGCAAAGAGAGACAAGGAGGAAGTAGGTTTCAGACAGACAGCTCGCTGGGCACACGCCTCGCGGGCTCCTTCAGGTGGCACTGCAGCTTTCTCCTCTTTGTCCTGGACACCCGTTTGCTGAGTGCAGTGAATGGGAATAGGGCCTGCAGAACGGTTGGTCGCTCAGAATAAGGCTTTGGGAAGACGTGGCCTGGTCCTGGCTCGGCTGCCTCCCTCTTGGCTCCCCTGGGCTGTAGTCTAGCCTTTCCGAGTCTCTGCTCATCACATGCGAGATTTGGATGCTGGAGTCTGTTGCAGCCTGCCGCCAGCTCTGCAGGGCACTGTGGATGTGGCCTCACACTGGCATGCAGCAGGTGGCAGGGGCACTGCCTGGAACTTTGTCCTTCTGTCTTCTCTGAATGTAGAGTGAAAGTGAAGTCTCCGTTGGAAGCCGGTGCCCCCTTGCCAGTGGTCGTGGTCAGCAGGGACGAGAGAGTCCTAGGTCCAAGCCGGAAGTCTGATGGGGACCCCGTGCCCACGGCAGGCAACCACTCCCAGGGAGTGCCAGGTAACCTGCTCTGGCGGAGGACGTGGTGCCCGGTCAGCGTTGTCTTGTTTTGAGATGTACAAAATGCAGTGAAAAGACTGAGGGAGAGAATGGAAGAGGCGCTCCTTCCTCCTTCCTCCTTCTTCCTTCCTCCTGCTCGGAGGCTTGGGATTTCTTATGAACTTGTTTCTGAAGTCTAGACTGCTTGGTTTTTAAAATTCATGGTGCTGTCTTTAACATACGTGTGTTTATTCATAGAACATGTTTCATACTGATCTAATATTCCATTAAATGGATGCTGCAATTGGGTGAAGCCCCTCCCTTAAGCAGGCACATTTCCGTCCACACGGGACTCTGCCTGGAAGTTTGTCTCCTGTGTAGAATCCTGTCTAGGGTGGATTTCCTAGAAGAGGAATTTCTGGCTCACAGCTCTGAATGCTTTTGGTAATCCTTAGGTGTTTTCAAGTCTTCTCTGGCTGCTCTGTTAGAATTGTGCCAGGATGGCACACACATCACCATGTCTTCACAAATACTGGGTATTTCCTTTTTTTGAAAACAATTCTACAAACGAAAGTGTTGTTTTCCTTATTAGTGGGGCTGATTTTTTTTTTTTTTTTTAAGATTGGTTTGTTGAGCCCAGCACCATGGTGTAGTAGGCTAAGCCTCCACCTGCAGCACCGGTATCCTGTATGGGTGCTGGCCTGTGTTCCAGCTGCTCCACTTTTGATCCAGCTCATTGCTTGTAGCCTGGGAAAGCAGCAGAGGATGGCTCACAGCTGACCCTGCACCTCGTGGGAGACCTGGAGGGGACTCCTGGCTCTAGATCTTCTCAGCTGTAGCTACTGTGGCCGTTTGGGGAGTGAACTGGTAGATAGAAGAATTCTCTCCCTCTTTGTTTCTTTCTTCTGCTGTTACTCTGCCTTCAAGTAAAAATAAAAAAAATATTTTTTAAAGACTTATTCATTTATTTATTAGAAAGGTGGAGTTACAGATGGGGGTGGGGAGAAAGAGAAACAGAGAGATCTTCCATCTGCTGATTCACTTCTCAGATGGCCATCGCAGCCTGGGCTGAGCTGAAGCCAGGAGCCAGGAGATTGTTCTGGGTCTCCCATGCAGGTTCAGGGCCCAAGCACTTGGGCCGTCCTGTGCTGCTCTCCTAGGTACGTTAGCAGGGAGCTGGATGGGAAGTGGAGCAGCCGGGATTTGAACCAGTGCCTGTCCTAGTGTCAGAGGTGGCTCCCTGCTGTGCACAGCACTGGCCTCAACGCCACCTTTCCCATGTGTGTGTTGATTGGCCAGTTTTTAGTTCTGACCACTTTGGATAGCACTATTTGTCTGTTGATTTTATTAGTTTTTAAATTTTTGGGGGGAAGATTTAGTCGTTTATTTGGAATACAGGGAAGCACCTTTCACCTGCTCCTCTCCGTACAGCCTCAGTGGTTAAATCTGGGCCAGACACGGGCTGCGACCTGGGGGCTCTGTCCTGTCTCCCACGAGTGGCAAGTACCTCAGTGCTTTGGGCATCTGCTGCCACTTGCCCAGCTGTCCTTGCGCAAGCAACAACTTAACCCTTCAGTTCCTTTTCAAAGGAACTTATTTGATAGGCAAAAGAGAGACGAAGATTTGTCTACCCACTAGTTTGCTCCCATCAGAGCCAGAGCTAGCCAGGCTCCATGCATGAGCTGGAAGCTCTGTCTGTTCTGCCACGTAGATCACAGCCAGCCAGGTACCAGAGGTGTAACGTGCCATCTGGACCGGACACGTGGGGCAGCTGCGTTTAAACCAGGTCCTCTGATCTGGGATGTGGGGATCCCTAGGCATAACTTAACCTGCTGGGCCATAATGCTCGCATGTGACTCTGGGAGGCCTTTAAAAAAAAAAAGATTTATTTATTTTTATTGGAAAGGCAGATCAGCTTTACGGAGAGCCAGCAAAAGATCTGCCATTTGCAGGGGCACTGCTCGGATGGCTGCAGTGGCCAGAGCTGGGCTTATCTGAAGCAGGAGCTTCTTAAGGATCTCTTACATGAGAACAAGGGCCCAAGCACTTGGGCTGTCTTTCGCTGCTATTCCAGGCCGCAAGCAAGAAGCTGGACTGGAGAAGCTGGGCGTTGAACCAGCACCCACATGGGATGCGGACTCCACAGGTGGAGGCTTAAGCTACTGTGTTACAGCAGTAGCTCCAATTTCTTGTGTTATTTATACACTTTTTTTCTCAGTTTATCAAAACATCCCAAATCAAAAGTCAGACAGAAACGTTCAGTTTGTGTGTGATGTAGTCTCCGTTTTGTGTGGGTTCCTGTGCTCACATCACCCTTTCCTGGGTGGAAAATCTGTTCTGAAATATCCTCTTGCCACCCCCACCCACCCCCTGCCACCCCTGCCCACCCCCTGCCACCGCCTCCCACCTCCTCCCACCCACTGCTACCCCTGCCACCCTTGCCCACCCCCTCCCACCCCTGCCTGCTTCCTGCAGCGAGCTCTCGGCCCTGTCTTCCCACGCAGAGCTCCGAGTGAAAGGCCCAGGCACTCACCATGCCGCAGCCCAGGCCACCAGCAGCATGAGCACCCCTTGCTGTTGGGAAGAACAAATGTGTTATGCTAAGGATGTTTGCCATCAGGGTTTGCCTGTGTGTGTCGATCATGTATTATCAAGAGTGATCTGTTTGCCAGTGTGATTTCTTTGTAAGGCAAGCTGTCCTGTGTGGCTTTGGCGGGAAGTCAGAGTTGTTAAGTGACGTTGTGAAGTGAGTTCCCCTTCAGCAGGTGGTGGTATGATGTGGCTACTTCCTGTTTGCTGCCACAGGGTTTGAGGGGGGAGTTGCATTCCGCCACAGGAGAAGCTGGCGTCTGCAGGGGTGAGGGGTGGTTTGTTGTTGGAGTTCTTTGATAGAAGCCCATGCCTCCTAAGCTGGTCCTGAGTAACGCCTTTTAACTGTTTCTATTTCTAGGCAATGTGAAGGCTAAGAGAAGCACCGTGGATGCAAAGGTACGTGCCTGCTTGCCCAGCCCCACTGGACTGGATGTGTGGGTGTATCATCGTCCGCGTGCTGGGCTGGCTGGACGATGGGGCGCGTGGATGCACAGGTGTGGGCTGTGGTCCTGTTGATCAGGAAAGACTGTGAGACAGTCATGCGTGCTGAAGTTTACCACGTGCAGGGCTGTCTTGCAGACTGACACAGGGAGCTTGGAGGGAGCAGGGTTACTCAGGCATGGGTCGCCGAGCCTGTGGACCAGAGCAGAACCTTGGGGTGCAAAAGAAGGGACCCCACTGGGACCCTTCGTGGGTAGAGGGAAGCGAGGAGAGTACATGATGGAAACAACAGGAGTGGGAAAACTGGACAAGTCTTGGTTTGGAATATCTTGACTGTTTTCAGTCAGGGGGCAGACATTAAAAAACCGTTGTTTTATCGTAGTAGCCTAGTTGAGGTATAATCGGCAGACCCCAAGTTGCACTTCTGTAGAGTGATATTTGTCGGGCCTTAGCTGTCAGCGAAGGTAGCGAGCGTGTGCATCACCCCTGAAGTTCCCCCGTGCCTTGGTGCACACTGGTCTCACGGACAGTTATCCAGCGTGTCTTGTCCAGCACACTTAGAGTGATTCAGCATTAGGCTGTTGCACACACGGCACCGTTTTGACCACTTGGGGTCAGGAATGGAGTTGGGCCGATGTGCCTGCCTGGGGCTGACTGCACATACGCAGGGTTGGGGTCCTCCAGCAGGGTGACCGGCTCGGTGGGCTGCAGTTGGGGGCGTGGAGATGCAGCAGAGAGAGCTACAGACAGGAAGTAGGTGGAGAGCCGCACCCTCGACAGAGGGGCCTTCACAGGTACCCGAGGCGGCAGCACGTGTCATCTTCATGTCAGGAAACAAGAGTGTGTTGAAGTGTTCAGTTTCTTTCATTTTAGCTGGCTTGGTTTGCTGCTGGCATCATCCTCACACAGGCTGTTTTGTCTCTGTAGGCACCTGGTGAGAAATCCTTTTCCATCCATAACAGCGACGGTGCCGTGTCCTTCCAGGTAGGTGCTGGCTTGGGGTGATTTTCTTAAAGCGTTTCCATGCCAGGGAGAATGGTAAGTTTCTAAAAGAATTTTCAGTTTTGGAAGAACCACATGGGCATGCCTGAAGCAGTGATTTGAGTACAAATGTACAAGGTGGATGCTGTGGGCCGACAGTCAGGTACACAGGAATGAATAGGTCTGCCCTGCCAGCTTCCAGGCCAGCCCAGCCTGCCTGTTCCAGTATGACTTCTGTATCTCCAGCACACGTCAGACGTAGAGAATTCTGGGGCTGGAGCTGTGATGCAGCAAGTAAAGCCGCCACCTGCCACACTACATCCCATCTGCTGTCAGTTCACGTTCAGCTGCTCCACTTCCAACCCAACTTCCTGCTAAAGGACCTGGGAAAGCAGCAGCAGATGGTCCAAATGCTTGGGCCCTGCACCCATGAGGGAGACCCAGAAGAAGCTCTTGGTTCCTAGTTTCAGCCTTGTCCAGCCTTGGCCGCTGTGTTCTTACAGGGTAGGAAACCAGTGGATGTAAGACCTGTCTCTCCCTCTTCTCTAACTCTGCCTTTCAAATTAAGAAAATGAATCTCAAAAGAAAAAAGACAAATATAGAATTCTGTTATTTTTAAAGATTTGTTTATTTTTATTGGAAAGGCAAATCTGCAGAGAGAAGGAGAGACAGAGAAAGATCTTCCATCTGCTGATTCACTCTCCAATGGCCCCAATGGCCAGAGCTGAGCCAACCCAAAACCAGGAGCCCAGAGCCTCTTTTGGGTCTCCCACGCGAGTGCAGAGTCCCAAGGCTTTGGGCCATCCTCTACTGCTTTCCCAGGCCACAAACAGGGAGTTGGATGGGACGTGGGGTCACTGGAATTAGAACCTGTGCCCATATGGGATCCTGACGCATTCAAGGTGAGGACTTTAGCCACTAAGGCCCCAAAATAAAATAAATCTTAAAAAAAAAAATTTAGGGGCCCGGCGCGGTGGCGCAAGTGGTTGGGGTCCTCGCCTTGCATGCCTGGGATCCCATATGGGTGCCGGTTCTATCCCGGCAGAGGCTCCTGGCTTCGGATCGGCATGGTATCGGCCGTTGCTCTCACTTGGGGAGTGAATCATCGGATGGAGGATCTTCCTCTCTGTCTCTCCTCTCTGTATATCTGCCTTTCCAATAAAAAAAAATAGTTTACCAGAAAGGAGCATTAGTCGTGATACAGGGCAGGGTTGTCCTCTCCGAGACGAGTTTCTTGAGGCTCAGCAGACTTTTGGGGCCAGCACTGTGGCCACAGTGAAGGGAAGTGGCCTGACATGGCCTATGGCCGGGAATGTGTACTTGCCTGGGTCTCCCAGCCTGTTCCCTGGCTGCGAACCTGGGGCAGTGGATGGAGTGGGTACCTCGCTGTGAGTCCCCAGAATGTGAACCATGGGGGTTGGTGCCCGTGATGCTGAGCTCCCGTGTCAGAGCTCTGGCTCAGTCCCAGTTGCTCCACTTCTAATCCAGCTCCCTGCTGAGGAGCCTGGAGGGCAGGGTGTGCTGTTGGCTGCTGCTGTCAGCCTGACCTAGACCAGGCTGTTCCAGCCATTTAGGGAGGGAATCAGTGGATGAAAGATGTCTCTCTCTCAGGCACTTCTGTCTTTCAAATAAACATGAAACAGAAATAAAAAATTAGGGTTGGGGGCTCTGACATTGAGTCACTGCCTGCAGGGCTGACGTCCCGTGTTGGAGTGCTGGTTTGTGTCCCAGGTGCTTCGCTTCCAGGACACGCTCTGCATGAGAGAGCTCGATGGAGACCAGGCTCGGCCTTGGCCTGGCCCAGCCCTGGCTACTGTGGCTACGCAATTACACTCTCTCTCCCTCTCTGTCTCTTTGCTGCTTTGCTCTCCAAATTAATAAATCTTTTAAAAATTAAAACATCAGAAATATGAGATCTATCCTAGGGTTTTATCATTTGTTTTTTAAAGATATGGAAGTGCCTTGTAAAGTGCTATGTAAATAATGTTTTATTGGTTTATAGGAATCGCTGCCTTTTTTCATTACTTGGGGTATTATGTGCTGACAGTGAAGTGCACAGGTCCTTATGTGTGCAGTTGGTTGAGAAGTGTAGGCCCCGACGTGACCCTGTTGTCACTGTTGTCGTGTTGTTAGCTTCCCAGGCCCCCACCCTGTAACCATGGTACTGAGTGCTGACCGACTCGCCGTCGGCTCCGTAGTGTTCATATGAACAGCTAGCCATGAGGGGAAGCCTGCGGGGTGCTCCTTGGCTCAGAACCTTCCAGCAGCTTCCCCATCTGTTGCCCCGTGGAAGCCTGACCCTCTCCTGCTCGCCAAGCTCCACGTGACCCGGCCCCTGCCACGTCTCTGTCCTCCTCCCCACTGCTGGCCGTCCCCTACTGCTCCCCACTCTGGCCGCCTTGTTCCTCCATGGCGCTCACGCCTCAGACCCTGCTCTGGCTGTGCCTGCAGCAGGAACCCATGTCCTCCTGAATCATGCAGGCCTTTGCCCAAACACCCTCCTCCCGGCAGAGCTTCCTGAATTTAAAATGAGTGCGACAGTTCAAGAGCCAGAGAGAGAGCCAGCTCCCATGCCGAGGTGAGCCCCCCAGTGCCTGCCTCAGCCAGCCGGGCTGCAGCCGAAGCCGAGAGCTGGGGACTTGACGCAGAGCTCCTGCACAGCAGCAGGACCCAGCTCCTCGAGCCGGCACCCGCCACCTCCCGGGGCGCACATTGGCAGGAAGCTGGCATTCAGACAGGAGTTGTGAGCATCTTAACTGGCATCCTAACCACTTGGCCGGACACTACCTCTGCTCTGTTCAGATGCACCCACCGCTTGCAGTACGCACACACGAGGCCTCATTCATGCCTTTGTGGTCCGTCTGCCCTGGAAGGTAACTGCCAGGGCAGGGGCTTGTGAAACTCCCAGTCCCCTGTGGACTTGCTGTTGATAAGGAAAGGCACGGCAGGCGTCATGCTCGGAGCCTGTCTGACATAATCCTGCTCCATCTCCCAGGAACTCTGAAGTAGACCCACGACTGTGCCCCTTTCACAGGCAGATAAACTGAGGTCACAGTGAGCTAATTGCTTGGGGGAGGAGTTGGAAGCTGACTGGGTGGAAAGACAAGGGGACTTTGCCCTATTCCTTTCCTCACTTTTAAAATGTTTGTTAATAAAATGAGGGGTTTTGAATGCTTCAACAAATGCCTTCTTGTTTTTTTTTTTTTTTTAATTCTGCAGAGCATTGTGGGGTTCATGCTTTGTGTTGAGTTTGTGTAGCCCATGGAAGGTTGAAGGTCCTGGCTCCCCTGCACGGGTGTGGGTCACCCTAGGGCAGGCAGCGAGCTGCAGGCCTGCAGGCCAGCCCTGGGCCTGACCAACGGCCTGGGTCTCCCATATGGGTCACCTGAGGGCAGGCAGTGGGCTGCTGGGCTGTGGCCAGCCCCACGTCTAACCAGTGTCAGATTTTTGAGATTCAGATGCCTCCTTGGCCCAATGTTGGTGATTCCATTGATTTTTTTTTTAATCTCTTGCAAGTTTTTATATCACTGTCAAGTTTCTTCTGTGAGTTTTAGTTTTTTTTTTTAAGATATATTTTATTTTTCTATAAAAAAGCAGATATACAGAGAGGAGGAGAGACAGAGTGGAAGATCTTCCATCCGATGGTTCACTCCTCAAGTGACTGCAACGGCTGGAGCTGAGCCAATCCAAAGCCAGGAGCCAGGAATCTCCTCCAGGTCTCCCACATGGGTGTAGGGTCCCAAGGCTTTGGGCTGTCCTTGACTGCCTTCTCAGGCTACAGGTAGGGAGCTAGATGGGAAGCAGGGCCGCCGGGATTAGAACTGGCACCCATATGGGATCCCGGCGCGTGCAAGGTGAGGACTTTAACCACTACGTTATCGCACCTGGCCCGAGTCTTAGTTTTGAAGTAAAATATGTTAGGGCTTTTCTTTTCTGGTGACCCAAGTGGACAGAAATTCGTGTTGTCACATTTACAACGGGGCTCAAAGCATGGCGGAGCAGATGCAGGGTTTCTTCTTGGGCACTGGTTCCCATCTTATCAGGTACTTTGTTGTCCCCGTTCTTTCTAGTCGTAAGCTCCAGTATCCCATGTGTGTGGCATTTGTACTGCATTTAGCAAGTAATTAGAGATGATGGCTTTTAAAACCATCACTCAGGGCAAGCAGTAAGAGCCGGGCTAATATCCCTCCAGTCGGGGTAACCTGTTGAGAAACGGCTCGTTCATGGTCATGTCCCCGTGTTGTCCTTCACTGCTTGAAACTGCACCCAAGGCAGGTTCCTTCCTGTGACCAGAGCTTGCTGATAGCAGTGTTGTTGGAATTGGCCAGGGAGTTATATTCCATGTGTGTGTGTGCCGTCTTGGTTCATATGAAACTTCATTTGACTATGAGTATATTTAAAGGAGAAAACATAGGTGCTGATCCTGCCTAAGATCACAGGTCTAGATCTTGATGATGGAATATTGACGCTTTTCAATTAGATGCCAGCCTCCATTTTTGGAAAAAAAGAATTTCCCATGAAGTGCAAAGCAATATGTTGATCTCCAAACTGGATAATTGCGCCTTAGACTGTCTTGGCACCTGCTGTCATTGCTGGACAGAAACGTGAGGAAGCCAGGATGGAGAATGGCGGAGATGGACTTCAGCCAGGGGGCCTGTGGTTGCCCTCTGTGCAGTGGTCAACTCCGAATGCTTGGTTGTTGTCCCGGGCTCCGGGGAGAGGCACATAGGATAGGCAAGCCCTCCTTTAAGCTCTGCCTAGGGGAATGAAGGTGGTCTGACTTCTGCCCATTAATATGTGCATATTTTACTGCTGAGGTTTTCCAGCACAGCTGCGCTTGAGGGCCCCTCACTTTGTTCCTCTTCACTTTCAGTTCTTCGTTAACATCAGCACTGATGACCAGGAAGGCCAGTACAGCCTGTACTTTCACAAATGCCCTGGGAAGGAGCTGCCAGCCGGGGGCCAGTTCTCCTTCAGCCTTGATGTGAGTATACCGTGGGCGGAATGCTCCACGTGGCTTCTGTCAGCAAGAAGTGCCAGCCACTTTGTCCAGAGATGAGGTTTAAGGCCACCTAGAAGAGGAAGATGTGGCCAGCCGAGCTCCTTGCTAGTGAGCAGGACTGCTTAGCAGAGGACGGGCTCAACTGTGAGGGGGTGTACACTTGCAGCTGGGCCCTAAGTGTGTGCTCGCAGCCTGTCTACACCCCTCTGTGCACTAAACGTGTGCTTGGGGCCGCCAGGACACACCTCGCAATGCCCAGGAAGCAGCTGAGACGGTAGCTTGCTCAAGAAGGCATGATGTCTTTTTGAAAAGTACCAATGAATTGCTGTGAATTCCAGATTGAGATCACGGAGAAGAACCCTGACAGCTACCTCTCAGCGGGGGAGATTCCTCTGCCCAAACTCTACATCTCCATGGCCTTCTTCTTCTTCCTGGCGGGCACCGTCTGGGTTCACATCCTTCGGAAGAGGAGGTAAGCCCCGCTCGCACCTCCTCCAGCCCGCAGCTGCCCCTCCCGGGTGCTCGGCCCCAAGCTGGTTGCTGTCACTGCTGGGCGCCTGTGCAGGAGTCTCCTGGCACAGCGTGTGTGGTCCATTGTTGACTCATCCCATCCTGTTGCAAAAGCAAATTGAGCTGCTCAGCCATGTGCGCACAGAGCACTCCCACGTGAGACCGCCCAGTCCGGGCCACGGAGGAGCACTGAGCTGCCCTTGGGCTGCCCACTGCCGGCAGGATGGGCCTGTCACAGGGGGAGCCTCTGCAGAGCCCCCTGCCTGGCTCTGGGCCTTGCCGTCCCCGGTTCTGGAACAGCTGCGGGTGCCTGGATTCTTTGTTGTGCCTCGCCACAGGGTAGAACATTGAAGTCAGGTTAGGGAGGAGGTAGGGGCTTGGTAGAAGGCAGATTGGGCACGTGATGGCACATGAAGTAGTTAAGCACCCCCAGATTCCTCTTCCTGCCTCTCAGGTTGGAGGGGTACCGGTGTAATCGTGTTTGGACTCGATTATCTGACCAGCCCTGCTTGCCCTGGGTATTTTGTCAGCCTCAGAGGATCAGTTCCTGACCAGCAGCCAGTGCCAGCCTTCCTTTCCGCAGGCTTGGGCTCCGTGCGGCTGGCATCCGCATGCCCCTCCCGGGTCTCCTCCCAGCATTGCCCTGTGGCTTGGAGATGACGTGGGTGCTGCCAGGGCCTTTCCACCGGCAGAAGCGAGTGTCTGCACAGCCTTCCTGCTGCTGGTTTCCTTGGCTTGTGTTTACCTCCTCTTCCTTCCAGGTTCCCGGAGCGCCGACCGTCTGTTGGAAGGGTGGAGTTGTCTTTTAATTCTCGGCCTGTTTTCATAGGAACGATGTGTTTAAAATCCACTGGCTGATGGCGGCCCTTCCGTTCACCAAGTCTCTCTCCTTGGTGTTTCATGCAGTGAGTATCAACATCTTGGGGGGAGGTCAAGTCCCCTTTGTCATGTGCTTGCTGACCACACCCCCTGTACAGCAGGTGGCAGGCATCTGACCCCTCTACGAGCCCGGCATTTGCCCAGAAGGTTTGGTTTTGTGTGTGTTTCCCATTTCTTGAGATGAGAGTGCCACCTGTTGAATGGTTTCCACGACTTCCCTTCCTTGTCTGGTTTACCCCGGTGTTCCTGCGGTGTTGGAGGCTCAGCAGTGCAGTGTTTCCTTGTTAATTTGAAAGAAATCACTATCATGGAGTTTGGGAGCAGAGGGTCGAGGTTGGACTGATGCAAACGGAGACAAATTTGGCCATGGGGCGAAGACCCCGGCGTCCCTGGGCTGGGGTGGTAACAGTCCCCGCAGAGCGCTGGGGCTGCAGTGACAATGACGGCAAGTGGCACTGGGCTGGGGCGGTGACAGTCCCCGCAGAGCGCTGGGGCTGCAGTGACAATGACGGCAAGTGGCACTGGGCTGGGGCGGTGACAGTCCCCGCAGAGCGCTGGTGCTGCAGTGACAATGACGGCAAGTGGCACTGGGCTCAGTTCCCATGTGGATCTGGATTAAATGGTTTCAGAACCCCCAAGGTGATGGGTGTAGGGTCCCCAAGTCCTTTAAAGTCTAGTGAGCGCTTCAGTGGTGGGGAGGAGGGCACGTCACACCCGTGTCAGCGCTGTAGGTTCTGCCAGCCAGAGTACTATATGAATTTTTTAAAGGTTTATTTATTTTTCCTTTTTTTTTAAAAAAAAGTTTTTTTCTTAAATTTTTTTTTATTTTAAACATTTATTTAATTTTTATTGGAAAGTCAGATATATAGAGCGGGAGGAGAGACAGGAAAAGATCTTCTATCTGTTGATTCACTCCCCAAGTGACTGCAAAAGGCCATAGCTGAGCCGATCTGAAGCCAGGAGCCCAGATCCTCTTCCAGGTCTCCCGCACGGGTGCAGGGTCCTAAGGTTTTGGGCCGTCCTCGACTGCTTTCCCAGGCCACAAGCAGGGAGCTGGATGGGAAGTGGGGATGCCGGGATTAGAACTGTCGCCTGTATGAGATCCTGGTGTGTGCAAGGCGAGGACTTTAGCCTCTAGGCTGCTGCGCCAGGCCCAGTAATACCATATTTAAAAAAAATAGTTAGGGCCCGGTGCGGTGGCGCAAGTGGTTAAAGGTCCTCGCCTTGCACGCCCGGGATCCCATATGGGCGCCGGTTCTAATCCCGGCAGCCCCGCTTCCCTTCCAGCTCCCTGCCTGTGGCCTGGGAAAGCAGCAGAGGACGGCCCTGGCTTCAGATTGGCATAGTATCGGCCCGTTGCGGTCACTTGGGGAGTGAATCATCGGACGGAAGATCTTCCTCTCTGTCTCTCCTCTCTGTATATCTGCCTTTCCAATAAAAAAATAATAAAAATAAATCTTTAAAAAAAAATAGTTAAAGCCAGGTGACTGCACATAGTTTTTTTTTTAAAGCTTATTTTTATTAAAGTGGAAGATTTACAGAGAGAAGAGACAGGGAAAAAGACGCCTGTCCACTGGTTTACTCCCTGAGTATCTGCAGCAGCAGAACCGAGCCAGTCTGAAGCCAAGAGCTTCCTGCAGGTCTCCCACATGGGCGCAGGGGCCCTCTGCGGCTTTCCCAGACCACAGGCAGGGAGCTGGATGGGAAGCAGCAGCTGGGGATTGAACTGCCACCCACAGGAGATGTCTGACACAGACTGCAGTCCCACCCACCGCATCGCGATGCCAGCCGCAGACTGACACGTCGTTGTCTCGGCTGGCTTAGCAATGTGAGCAGCGTGTGGATGAAGTCAAGTTCTGAGATGCTGAGTTGCACATTTGGATCTTGGAAGTATTTTTTTTTTCTTTACTTTTGACAATCTTTACATAGTTAATTAGGGCACAAAGGTTCAAGGGCTACAGAAAAGTGGGTAAGACTATTATTTCCACATTGTTTCTTTTTATTTTTTCTGTGTCTGGGGTAAATGGGGAGATAAAGGGAGAAGCCCCACCTAGCGTCCCACCCAGCCCAGGTCCCCGATGTGGGGCGTGCTCTGAGTCTTGCTCAAGTGGTTTTGATAATTCAGCAGTTCTGAATTGCTGCCAATCTTGCTATTCCAAGCATGATGAAGTTGCTGCATAATCCACTGATTGACATAGTCCACCTTAGAGTCTCCGTTTGCCCAGTTTTGCCCAGCCAACATATGGCTGGAGCAGTTGATTGATTTGATCTGTCCTCTGTTGTGATGCCAGGTGTCCTCTGCAGGTTCCGATAGACTGCCATATCCTCCATGGACACCTGGTTATGCTGTCCACTGCTCCGTCTGAGCCTCTGAGGAGGCTCGGCTCTGGCACTTGCACTCCATGGCAGACCATGGAACCTGCACTTCTCTTCATGGTTGGGGTTCTGAGTCTGGTAGTTTAACTGGGAAGATCCCAAAAGAAACTTTGTCTGAGGTGTTTCCAGCCCAGATTCTTGTGTGGACTTGCAAGTACAGGGCCTGGCACAGTCCATCGCCCGAATCAGCTGGTGGTTGCAATTGCTGGGTTGGTTCTGTTCCCAGTCCTGTCTTCCACTGGAACCAATGCGTGTTGCAGTCCAGCCTGATTCTGCCCAGCACACACTGGGCCCTCACTTAAACCAGTGGGAGCTGCAGCCTAGTCAGAGCACCCCACAATAACCCCCACCAGGCCCGTCCACTACCCTGGTTCCCATGCTTGTCAGTATGTACAGCAGACTGTCCAGTCTGTCCCACATCCCATTCAGCTCTCATACATGTCAATGGGCATTGAAGCCTAGTTCAACCCAACCAGCCCAACTGTCCAGCCCACACAGATGCTGGTGGGTGCCATTCTGTCCAGCCACCCCACCCCCTGTCCTGGTTTTCATGTTCTCCGGTGGGAGTAGTAACCCAAGAGGGAGGAGCCCACTGTTTCCCTCCCAGGCCACGCCCACTCCCGGATCATGCACTTTCCAGATGGTTCTGCAGTGTAACTTGACAGATTAGCCACCAGTGCCAGCATCTGCTATCTGATGCTGCGGCAAAGCCCAACCAACCCTCACCCATTCCGCTTTACGTTTGTACCAGTAGGGACAGTCAACCAAGCCTGGCTCTTCTTGATCTGGCTCACGTGAGGCGCACAGGTGTTCTAGCCCTGCCCGGTCTGGTCTGCCCCATCCTAACTCATACTCTCCAGTGGGCGAGGTGTTCCAGCAGCGGGCCCTCCATACTCCCCCTACCATCTTTACCCCCTCCCTCCCTGGTTCCTACTAGCGCTGCGTCCCAGTCTGGCATGGCCCACTTCGTCTTGGCATTTGCTAGTAGGTGCTGTAGCCTGGCCTGGCCTGGCCCACCCACAAATCCAGCTGGTGAGGGTTACAGTCTAGCTCAGCCCAGCGTGAACCCTATCTCAGCTGTAATGTGTATGTGTTACAACCATATCTGACCCAACCCTCACTATCCTTGGAAGTATTTTTTAAAAACAGGAATCCTTTTGCTGAGGTGACACACTTGGCTCTTAGGCTGGTGTCAGTGACAGTGAAAACCTGTGCTTCACCAAGAATTCACGTGTGTGTTGGGGGCCAGGAGGGCCCACCGTTCAGAGCCCATCGGCCACGGGGTGCCTGCTTGTCGTCTAAGGCGTGTGACGGGCCGGCCTTGCTGACGTGTGGTGTCTGATTGCAGATCGACTACCACTACATCTCGTCCCAGGGCTTTCCCATCGAAGGCTGGGCCGTCGTGTACTACATCACTCACCTGTAAGTTCACGGGGACACGCGGGAGCCCGTGCTCGTGATGACAGCCAAGAGAAGCCGGGGGAGCCTGGCTGCACAGACCCACCCCTGCTCCATGTGTCCCGCCCTCTAGGGGGACCTGCCTGTAAGCGTGTAGACAGTTGAGGGCTCCGGTCAGCTGGTGGGCTGCTACCTTTCTGAGAGTCTGGGCTGATTAGGCAGGGGCTGCAGAGCAGCTGTGTGCTGTCACGGGACGTACTTGGGGCATTTGGCCGTGCAGGCCAATGGGCAGAGCAAATCAGAGACGGTGGTGCACAAACTGTTTTCTCCTGCAGGCTGAAGGGGGCGCTGCTGTTCATCACCATAGCACTCATCGGCACCGGCTGGGCATTCATCAAGCACATCCTCTCGGATAAGGACAAGAAGATCTTCATGATTGTCATCCCGCTCCAGGTAAAGGGCCCTTTGTGGGCTCAGCTCCAAGTGTGTCCCGAGACGCAGGTGGTCCGTGCCTCCTGATGGGCAGACTTGAGGCTGTGGCCCTGGAGGGAGTTTGCTATCAGCCAGCTTGAACCTGGCCTGTGAGTGCCTAGGTGTCCAGTGGAGTAACCGTGGGAGAGTCGGGGAGCCCTGCCTTCTGCCTGAGCAGGGTACCCCGATGGGCAGTGATTCTAGTAAGAGATTTGTCTAAGTGAGCATGACTGCTGGGGCAAGCCCTTCCTTGTTCAGCACTGCTGTGTTGGGGGCCGTGGACTGCGGCCCTTCCTGCAGACTCACAAGCCCCTCAGGCAAGGACCCCAGCCTCACACCGGCTGTCATTCTGGAGATGGAGCTGCAGACAGGAAGGAGTGACAGCAGCTCGCACGCCTGCTTGGCCAGAGTTCATGGGCACTTGAAGACACCTGTGAAAAATGGGTTTACAAGAGCACGTTTATTTTAGTGCCCAAATGTTCCGATCTGTATGTAGTTCTCTCATAGTCCACATTTTCCACGAGCTTTGGAAGGCCTGACAAATGTGTAAGGTTTTTTTTTTTTTTTTTTGCACCAAAATGAACATTTTGTTTTGTTTCCATGAACTTTTCGAAGTATTCTCACGTTTGGTAGAAATGTTCTCGTTAGCTGGTGTCACCGTGTGGGGGGAGGGGCAGCCCCACAAGTGGGCGATGGGTCAGCCCGCTCATCTCTCATGGTTGGCAGAAAGCACAGTTCACAATAGAGCCACCATCTCCGTCAGCCGGGGAAGCTGTGTTAGCACCACGTGGACGTGCTGCCAGCTCCCCGGCCACTCAGATCCGGTGTGATTGAGAGGCTTTTTTGCTGAGGATGGTGACAGCAGAGAGGTGCAGCAGGTGCATGCTGTGGAGGAGCTGAGCGAGCCACTGCCTGCTGAGCCTCCCGGCCCACCTCCCCAGCCCCGCTGTGCTCCAGCCTGCCAGGGTCTCAGAGCCGATGAAGGATGGGCCCAGCTCCTCTTCCCTCCTTGCCTGCCCCTGTCATGTCCCTCATCCCACAGGTTTGACCCTTTGCCCCTGAGCCAACCCCGTGGGGTCCCAGAGCACACAGCCTGCCTGCTTGCCCCCGCACTCCTCGGGGATGAGCACACATGATCAGGTGGGGCCTTGGTGGGGGGCTGAGGATGCTGAGGGAAGGGAGCAGCAGGTTGTGCCCGGGAAGGCCCTGACCATCTGGCTCTGGCCCTGGGCAGTGACTGCGCGAGGTGAGCGGGGCACAGGCAGAATGGTGCTGGAGGTGTGTCAGCTGAGCGTCTCTGCCCGGGTCCGTCTGGAAAGGGCAGGAGTCGCAGGGGTGCCTGGGAGCCACAGGGGGTGCCCAGGAGCTGCTGTTTCACACAGGTGAGGCTTCAGGAAGAGGCAGGGAAGGGGCTCAGGGGTCACCCTCAATCAGTGTGACTCTGGCCATCATGCCCGTGGTGTCAGTGGCGCTTGGCTCCTGCCCAATGCTGGTTTTCAGCAGAATGCATTCCTCCACTGTGGGCTTGGTCCAGCCAGCCGCAGGTCCTCCCGCCAGGCTGAGAGCCCAGCATCCGGGCAGAACCCCAGCTTTGGAAGTAGAGGTAGTCAGTAGATGCAGCTGACTGCCCCCCACCCCCATGTGGGGAGGGGCCCGCCACTGAGGCCCACGGAGGACATGACCTTGTGGCTGAATGAATGTGAACACCTCGGATGCCTCCACAGCAAAACGAGGTGTCTTGTCTCCTGCCATATTAACACATCGCCCCAAAATTTAGTGACTCTGCGGCGGAAGCCAGTACTGCTTGCTCTCAGGACTTTGGGTCAGGGTTTCTAGAATGGCTTGGCTGGGTAGCTGGCCTGATGTCCTGTGTGGTCCTAGATGAGTCATGCCTGGGGCCGCGGCCTTTTACACTCTTGACTGGCCTCTCACCCCTGCGCTGGGCTGAGGGTGGGCACTGCTCAGGCGTTTGGGGTAGCCAGCCGTCTCACAGGGTCCACGGGACAGTGGGCTGAGCCAGGTCTGTCCACCTGGGGAATCCCAGAGCTCCCCCCATCTGCCCTTACTGTGCCGGTCCCAGCAGCTGCATGCCAAGGAGCAGCTGCTTGGTGACAGAGTGGCAAAGCTCTGAACGAGGCTGTGGGCCAGAGCTGCGTCCTGCTGGCCCAGGGATGCCCCCACCGTGACACTGCTTCCGTTTAACCATGACCTGTGTCTCCCATAGGTGCTGGCCAACGTGGCTTATATCATCATAGAGTCGACCGAGGCCGGCACTACCGAGTACAGCCTGTGGAAGGACTCACTGTTCCTGGTTGATCTGCTGTGCTGCGGGGCCATCCTCTTTCCTGTAGTATGGTGCGTTGCCCCCGCCCCACCCTCACCCCTCGCCCCCACTGCCAGGCCCTGTGCACCATGTGGCTTGGCTGCCAGGTCAGTGGCCTAGCTGGCTCCTCCCTTCTGGGTCCAGATCACATAGGGCAGCTCCAGGTACCCGGCCGACTCCAGCAGGTGTGCAGGGACAGGACCCTGTCGTTGTCTTTGTTGGACAGGAGTCTGGCTCAACGGGCTGACATTTACAGAGCACTGAGAAGGAGCACAAACTACCTCTGAGAACCTGTGACATGAGAACAGCCTGACCCTCGGAGAAGGGGGTTGACAAATGCCCCCGCAGCCCCTCTGTGCCAGGTCAGATGGGCGGTGATGCCTTGGCCTGAGCTGGCCGTAGCCGCCCGGCCGGACGTCCCAGCCTCCTGAGCGTGCCCTGCTCTGTTCGTGTTTATGGCGGCCTTGGGTCCAGGCCAGGCTCGTGTGATGTGTAGAGAAGGGTTAGCGGGAACAATCCTGCTCGTGCACACGTGCCGAGGGCTGGCGGGTCTGGTTCAGCAGGAAGCAGGTGGAGGAACGAGGCTGCAGCCACAAAGCCCTTACTTGCTGGAGCGATCCGGTTCCACGGCTTTCTCATGCTTTGAACTTCCGGCTGAAGCCGCAGGTGGAACGGCATTCCAGCCCGCGGTGGAGTGAGAGCCTTCTTCCTGCAGGGCCCTCGGCAGGGAGGGAAGCTTTAGCACCCTGGGGCCCTGGGGCCAGTCAGGCTCTTGGGTGACTCCAAGCGTTCAGAATGTGACCACACGGAGCGTAAGCCAGCTACAGCCGCACACCCACCTGTCACGTGTGGGAGTGTCTCAGGGTGACGTAGCAGAGGGAGAGCAGAAAGGACCCTGCTGCCACACAGCTGCCCAGCCACGAAGGAGCCAAGGGCCAGGCATCTCCTCCAGGAAGTGCAGGACAGCTGGCTCCAGCTGGGGACGGGGGTCAGATGTGTGCACCCGTGGGGCCTGGGAACTCTATGCCTGGTGCCTGCTTGTGGAAACACCACGAGCGGACGCTAGGTGGCAGCATCCTCCAAGGCAGATGTCTGAAGGTGCTGAAAGTCAGAGATTGCAGCCGTGGTCTTTAGAGGCTTGGTTCTGCCAGCAGGGTTGTGGTGCCATTCCCGTGTGGGTTACCTGCAGCAGAGCACCCCCATCGTGGGTGGCTGGTGAGAATGTGGGGCCAGGGGCCAGGCCTGTTCAGGGAACAGATTGAGCTGTGCCTTGGGCTCTAACCAAGGGCTTTCTAATCGTGTTAACGTGTCCTGCCCTCACCGGAGCAAGGTAATTTATTACTGGCACGTCACAGCCAGAGTCCCCGCAGGCCAGCGTTTTCACACCGTTCTAAATCTGTACTCCGTGTGATGGGTGTGTGACTGCCAGCCCTGCACTTCAGCCCATGGCCTGTGGGCTCCCGTCCTGCCGAGCTCCCTAGGGCTCTGCTCTTCCTGTGTTTGCAGGGGTGGCTTTGGGACCAGGGATGGATGGGGAAAGGCGGGATGGTGTGCTACCACAGAGCTGCCAGTAGATGGCGCCATCACCACGCACCATGCTTGGGAGGCCACGGTCACCCAAGGGCAGGCCGCCCCTTCGCCAGCTGACTTCTGTTCTCCTGTTCGCAGGTCCATCCGACACTTGCAGGAAGCGTCAGCCACCGATGGCAAAGGCAAGTGGCTCGAGTGCACTGGGACCTTCGCTGCTGACGGCCGCGGGGTGGCCCCGTGGGGTGGGAGCAGCAGGGCTGGCTGGCTAGGGAGGAGGCTGGGCCCACAGCATGGCAGCAGTGGGAGGCCCGCGGAGATGGCGACACGCTGGGAGGAGCCTGACGGGCAGGGGGTGCACGCCGACAAGCCGGATGAGCCACTGCGTGTCTGCTTGTGGTGGTGCTTGTCACCTCCCCGAGACCAAGTCAGGAAAAGAATGTCTGGTCTGGCAGGGGCCGGGTGACACTGGCCTGGGAGAGCAGGAGGTGTGGTGTGCAGCGCTGCTTCCTGCCGCTCCCACGCTTGCCCAGTCGACACGTTGGCACCATCTGGAGAGAGACCCGGAGGCCGAAGGCGCCTTCTTAGCCACCTGAGGCACCTGTGCGTTTCCTGGGTCATCGGGCTGTGTCGCCCGCCTCCCTCCCCCTCCCCGTCCTGACCCTCAGCCTTCCCCACTTCCCTCTGCAGGTCTGAGGTGCTTGGCGACGAGCCGAGCTGAGCTGGAGGAACATAGTTTTGTGCTCAGCCCGGGGTGTGTGACCCGGGAAGTGGGGTCGCTGTTCCCCAGCCTCCGCTGTGACAGGAGCTGGAGGAACAGGAATGATTTGGTCCTGGCATGCCGCATCCAGGCAGCTTCTCAACTTGTCCACCAGATGGCAGCATGGGCCCTGTTCAGCAGAGGGCCTGCCTGGGTGCAGGAGCGCCCCGAGAAGCCAGGGTGTCCCAGGCAGGATGTTAAGAGAGCCCCGGTTTCTCACCAGCAGATGTCACAGGTGTCACAGTGGTGTCCTCCTGACGCATTCCTCCGTTGAGTTGATTCAAGCTGTGGGATGCTTTTGAGCTAACCCGCAAATACACGTTGGTGCTCTTGGCTTTGAACAATGTTCCACAGCATGCCTGTTAGTAACAGTAATAGGCAGCGTGCTCTTGGGGCTGACTGCCAGGGAAGCGGCGTGGTGTGCACTACTGGCCGGGAGTCCTGGGGTCCATGTGCTGGCCCTTCTGAGGCCCAGCCTGTCGTGGAGCAGCTGGGGACATGAAGGCCACGGGCAGTGGTGCCTCTGAAAATGTCCTGTGGACCAGAGGCCGCATCCTGTGTCCAGTCTCACACTCCTTGCGCCACTGACCCTGCTTGACCTTGACAGTGACTTGGGTGGCTAAATCCGCTTTTGGCGGAGTGTCAGCCACGCCAAGTGAGCGCAGGTGGTTGGAATGCTGTGTGTGGCGGGGCTTCCCACGTCGGGTGAATGGAGCTTTGCTTAGACTCTGCCTTCCCTTTGTGGGGTGTGAAGAACAGGGCTGCCCCGCGGCGTGCTTGGGGCTCCCCACTGACTCCGCGGGGCAGCAGTTTGCGGGGCTGGGCCAAGTCCCGCGACGCACCCCGCTCTGCCTCACCTGCCCAGGGCCGGCTCGGGCACCAGCAGTGCCATGAACAGTTTTGGCCTCTGCCCATCTACCTCTTGGCTTTGTGTGTCTGCAGCTGAGTTGAGGGGCGGGTTCTGCAGCAGCTCCCCTCTGCTGGGAGTTTCCAGCACCCTGAACCCCACGACCCGGGCAGTGGGGAGGGAGCCTGCCCATGGGCTGCGTCCTTAGGGGCGCCCTGGCAGGGCACCTGTTAGGGCAGCAGTAATGTTTCAGACTGGAGTTGCGTGAGCCCTTCCCTGGGAGTGTCTGCACTGAGGGGCGCGAGCAGCCGGCACGTTTGCACAGCTCAGGGCAGCGGCACCGAGTGCAGTGGCAGCCATTGCGCTCCTCACTGCTGTCCACTCACGGGGGGTGGTGTGGGGGGCTCAAGTTTCTTAAGCCTGGCTTGATGAGATAGTAATAGCTATTTTTTAAAATCCATTTTGGGTTTTTATTTGAAAGGCAGAGTTACAGAGAGGAGAGATGGAATCTTCCATCCATTGGTTCACTCTGTATGGCCACAGTGGCCGAAGCTGAGCCAGTTCAAAGCCAGGAGCCTCTTCCAGGTCTCCCACGTGGGTGCAGGGTCCCAAGGCTTTGGGCCGTCCCCGACTGCTTTCCCAGGCCACGAGCAGGGAGCTGGATGGGAAGTGGGGCTGCTGGGACATGAACTGGTGTCCATATGAGATGCTGACACTGTAGATAGAGGGTTAACTTGAAATGCCACGACACTGGCCTTGATAATAACAGTTATTAAGTCTCACATCCTGAATGTGTCTCCTGTTCCATGTGACAAAACGGGAAGTGTGCAGGCTGAAGTGCAGCAGCCGTGGCTCTGAGCAGAAGTATTTGTGTGGTTCTGTGGGTTGCAAGATCTACTGCTTTGTTTTTTTCACCAAACACCATTTTGGGTTTTGATTTATTTATTTAAAAGGCAGAAAGAGAGAGAGATCTTCCATCTACTGGCTTTCCCAAATAGCCACAGGGCCAGGCCTGGGCCAGGCTGAAGCCAGGCCCACGGCTCCATCCTGGTCTGCCTCGGGAGTGGCAGGGCCAAGCACTTGGGCCATCTGCTGCTGCGTCCGTGAGTGAAGCTGAATCGGGAGTGGAGTGGCCGGGACTCAGAGCAGTGTGGCATGTGGCTGTCATCCGCAGTGGCCTGACCCACGGCACCACAAGACCTATGCTGTTGCCAGCTGACCGATTCTGTCCCCAAAGTGAGTCCATGGCTCACCCGCCGGAGGACTGCCCCACACCACCACACGTGGAAGAGGGGAGCAGCCCTGACAGGCCACACTCGGGGGCTTTTCAGCTCCCACTCGCATGCAAAACTGTCCAGGCAACTAAGTCAGCATTGGCTCAGTGTGACAAGGGGAAACTGCAAGAAAGGGGTCTGCTCAAGGTTGGGCGCTTTCTTCTCAGGGTTATAGAAGACCTGTGTGTTGGTCTGGTCTGGCCGGGGAACTTTGTAGCTGAGTGCTGATCTGAGAAGGGCAAGGGCCACCTGCGGACCACCTGCTGGGAACCCTGGGGGGGACAGTAGCACTGTTCCTTGTGTTACTGTGTCTCTATAAACCTGAACATCTCCGTGTCTGTAACAGCCTTGTAGCATTTCTTGGAGGTCAGTTAGTCTAATATCGTGTCCTTAAAATGATGATGGGAGAGTGTCCATACAAACGGAGAGCGCCATGCTGCCTGGGGCAAGCAGCCGGAGGAAGCAAGTGGAAGGGCCCTGTGCCGGTGGCCGGGGGTTTCAGCTCGCGTGTCTCTAAGGGAACACTTCTTTTCCTGCTTGTGAGACTCGCGACTCGCGTAGACAGGAGGGCCTGACCAGACACCTGACGCCCCCGTGACCTTTCAGGCTGTCACAACACAGATGCCGTTATTCCTTGATAAAGTAACCAGCGTGTGACTTAGGCTTGGCATTTGGCAGGCAGCTTTCGGGGGAAATGAACGAAGTAAACGTGGAACAACCAAGAAAAACAGTTTTTTGCCAGTAATAAAAGTTACGCTGTCAAGTGACAAAACTTAGGAAAGCTCAGATGCACCAGTACAAGTGTTGACACTTTCCATTTCAGATCTGGTTGTACTAGAAAGGCGGCCCCAGAGCGGAAGGGGCCGGCCTTCCATATGCTCCAACTCGGGTGTTCCCTCAAAAGCAGCTGGACACAGAAGCAAATATGAAAATCCAGCTCTCTGTGTGTTTTTAATCCAGCTGTGTTTTATTAAAGGGATGCTTCTCAATATTTTATTTTTATTGGAAAGTCAGATTTACAGAGAGAAAAGGAGACAGAAAGCTCTTCTGTTTGCTGGTTCCCTCCCCAAGTGGTCACAAAGTGAGCTGCGCTGATCTGAGGCCAGGAGCCAGGATCCTCTCCTGGGTCTCCCACGCGGGTGCAGGGTCCGAAGGCTTTGGGCCGTCCTCGACTGCTTTCCCAGGCCACAGGCAGAGAGCTGGATGGGAAGCCGGGCTGCCGGGATTAGAACTGGCACCCATATGGGATCCCAGCGTGTGCAAGGCAAGAACTTTAGCCACTAGGCTACTATGTTGGGACCTAGACTGTTTTTTAATACCCCTCTCTCTTTGTTGCTCTGCGTTTCAAATGAATAAAATAAATCTTAAAAAAAATAGAGGGTTCAGCTTGGGGCCCCTGTCTTGGAAGCATCAGTGAAGAAGGAGGCCTGGGAAGGTGGCCAGCAGCCTGCAGCTGCATGGGGTGCCGCCTGCCGCCCTGGCGTGGGGACGCAGCCCGCTCCCAGTGCCCAGCCGGTCCGCCCTGGCGTGGGGACGCAGTCTGCTCCCAGTGCCCGGCCAGTCTGCCCTGGCATGGAGACGCAGCCTGCTCCCAGTGCCCGGCCGGTCTGCCCTGGCATGGGGACGCAGCCTGCTCCCAGTGCCCGGCTGGTCTGCCCTGGCATGGGGATGCAGTCTGCTCCCAATGCCCGGCTGGTCTGCCCTGGCGTGGGGACGCAGCCCACTCCCAGTGCCCGGCTGGTCTGCCCTGGCATGGGGACGCAGCCCACTCCCAGTGCCCGGCTGGTCTGCCCTGGCATGGGGATGCAGCCCACTCCCAGTGCCCGGCTGGTCTGCCCTGGCATGGGGACACAGCCCACTCCCAGTGCCCGGCCGGTCTGCCTCTGTTCTGCAGGAGGCTGCTGTCTACACTGACCATGGGAACACTGTTTCCTAAGTTAGTGTGGAGGGAGCCGGTCAACCCATGCCTGTGAAAGGGCTTGTCCTAGTTTCCCTGTGGGCAGTGCAGCGGTGGGCACGGCCTCCCTTGCTGGGCACTGTATTGGAAGCCCCTTGCACGCTCCTTGTACCTGTGGCACGAGCTGGTAGAACCTCAGTTAGGCCCTGGAAGGACCCAGGCTGAGCTCGGGGTGCTTCCTGTGAGCACAGCCAGCCCTGCAGCTCCCGTGTGTCCATGTGGGACCGAGAGCCCGCGGTGCAAGGAGCCCAGTGGGTGCGGTTTTGTACACGCATCTCCCCATGGCTTTGGGCGCATTTTCAGTGCGTTTGTGGTCTGGAAAGGTTTCAGACCTAAAGAGCCTGATGGGAAGAGAAAGGAGTGCAAGGGGGAGCATGCCTGCATGCTCTTAGAGGAGTTCCTGCATGTGGCTTCCACTGTACCCCAAAACCCAGCCCGCCCTGGCATTTCCCATAGACTTTCTAAATCTGTTACTTTATTGGGACTGTTTAATACGGTGATTTTTAATTTCCCATAATCACCTACTATGTCTGTCACTCTCCCTCAGCAGATTACCCCAGATTGCTGTAACTCTGCCTGCCCAGTCACTGCTTGGGCCGTACACGAGGGGGCAGTTGGCTGGGGCTCCCTGAGTTATGTCAGCCACGGCTGAAAGCAGAGAGGCCTCTTGTGTCCCTGGGCTAAAATTGCCTGTCCCTCCTTGGCCTTCAAAGTGCCGGGACCACCGCTTCATGGCGGGCGCGCCTCGCAGCCTGCCCGGCTTGGTCCTGCCCTTTGGGCTCTGCGCATGTGCTTGCTGTGGGCCGTGGCGGAGAGCGGGGATCCTCGGAGGGGAGACCCAGGCTTCCTTGCTGAGGACGGTCAGTCTGTTGTCCACCAGCCCGTGTCGCCAGCAGCGGGGGAGTCTGCCCTTTGTCCTCCCCTGAGTCGATGCCCAGTGTCACGGGGTGCTGTGGACTGCTGGGGGTGAGAGACAGGAAGACAGGTGCTGTGTGGCTGACGCGCTTGGCTTCACACTTGCATGCTGTGGCTGACAGGCGGGAGGGGCTGACGGCTGGCCCTCACCGCCCTGAACTTGCAGCGTGGCTTCGGTGGGAAGGGAGGGTGGAAGCCGTGGACGCTGTGCGTGGCTGCCCTGCAGAGCCAGGATGCTGTCCAGTGTCTGCAGTCCACCCGGCAGGCCGGTAACACTGCTTTCTTTGAGGCGTTTGAGGTGTGACTGCTCAGTGCCGAGTGTGTATTGGCAGGAGGTCAGTGTGCGGGCTGTTCTAGCCTCCCAGTGCTGCCCAGGTGTGGCGCGTGGCTGCCGTGAGCTGGGTGAACCAGCGCCTGGCGCCTCAGTGGGCTGCAAGCACTGGGGTCAGAGTGTGTGGTGGTGGCTCTCAGGCCCTCTGAGCTCTGCTGTCCCCCTCACCCACTTGGTTTTCTGAGTGACTGAAGATTCCCTCCGCGGCACAGCCCGGGAGAAGGGCAGGTGGGTGCCGCCTCCCCTGCTTGTCCCTGCTTGCAGGGCGGGATTGCTTGGGGCAGCTGCACCTGCTTGGAGGCTGACAAGTGCCTCGTAGGTCATGTGACGTTAACTCCTGCAGCTTTGGAGCGTGCCCTCAGTGCCAGGTGGTACAGCTACGAGCTGCCTGTCTTGGTGCCCTCCATGTGGCATTACAGGAGTGGTGCTTACAAGAAGCCACACTGGGCATGCAACCTGGCACTGCCCTGTAGGAGCCGGGCACTGTGGCGCTTGGCTCCCCTTCCCTGAGCACCTGATCTGTGGCTGAGCCATCACATGGTCACATGAGTGAGGCCCACCCATGCTGGCCCAAGGCTGATGGCCGGCGCTGTTGTCTGTCCACGTTCCAGGACCGTGAGTGAGGAAAGACAGTCGGTGAGGGCGGGACGATGGTCTGGCCTGCTTCCTTGCTCTGGGTCCTGGAGAGGCAGCGTGGTCTCTGAAGGTGGCTGAGGGTCTGCAGTGGCACCTGTTGTGTCCGCGGTAGGAGGCCCGTTCTGGGTGGACATCCTGTGTGCCATTGAGTCCCTGCTGCAGCCCCTGCATCCGGTCTTGGTGAGCCTGGTTGGAGCTCCAGCTGTTGTCCTCATTCAGTTTCTTGCTAACAGGCACCCTGGGAAGCTGTGGTGCTGGTGCAAGGGCTTGGGCCCCTGCCACCTGCGTCACCTGGCTGCTGTTGCAGCCATCTGGGGATTGACCAGCAAGTAGAAGATTGCTCTGTTCCTCTCTGCCTTTCAGATAAATCAAATGTGAATTTTTTAAAGATTTGTTTATTTATTTATTTAAAAAATTGTAAGATTTATTTATTTTTATTAGAAAGGCAAATATACCTAGAGGAGGAGAGACAGAGAGGAAGATCTTCCATCTGATGATTCACTCCCCAAGTGAGTGCAACGGCCGGTGCTGTGCTGATCCAAAGCCAGGAGCCAGAAACTTCCTCCAGATCTCCCATGTGGGTGCAGGGTCCCAAGGCTTTGGATCATCCTCGACTGCTTTCCCAGGCCACGAGCAGGGAGCTGGAAGGGAAGTGGGGCCGCTGGGATTAGAACCGGCGACCACATGGGATCCTGGCAGGTGCAAGGCGAGAACTTTAGCCATTAGGCCACTGCGCCGGGCCCCAGATTTGTTTATTTCTATTGAGACAAAAGATCAGATTTATGGAGAAAAGGAAAAACAGAGATCTTCCACTTCATTCCCCAAGTAACTGCAACAGCCGGAGGTGATGTGATCTGAAGCCAGGAGCCAGGAGCTTCTTCCCGGTCTCCCATGTGGATGCAGGGTTCAGGGCTTCAGGTCATCTTCCACTGCTTTCCCAGGCCACAAGCAGGGAACTAGATGGGCAGTGGAGCAACCAGGACATGAAACAGTGTCCATGTGGGATTCTGGTGCTTACAAGGTGAGGATTTAACCATTGAACAATCGTACCAGGTCTGAAAATGAATTTTTTTTTTTGAAAAGTGCTTTTTAAGAAATGGTTGTCCGGCTGCTGGTGGAGGTTTCTGTTGCTGAGTGGGCAGGAGGACACAGCATGCGTGGCAGGGCAGCCCGTGTCCCCTGCGCTCCCCCAGTGACTGCCTTCCCCACAGCCAGGCCTGACTGCAGGGGAGAAGGGGCGGCCTGGCGTCCGTCCGTACGTGCAGTGCTCCAGGTAACCGTTGCTGGAGGAACGTCTGGCCTGCAGAAGGCAGTGGGGCCAAGACAGGCACACTGAGTTACGATCGCACAGTGCCTGGCCTTCAGGGCTCCTGGCTACCATCCGGGGCCCTTTCCTCTCCCTGGGCTCATTCTTTGACCATATTTGCTGCTGCCCATGGTGGGGTCAGAAATAGCCGGCCTGGCCTTGGTTGAGTCCTCCCTCTGTGGGAGCCCTGCTCCCCCGGGGACCCAGGAGCAGCAGCCTGTCTGCCTCCCAACCGCAGGGAACCCTGGAAGAAAAAGCAGAAGGGGTGTGGGACCCCAGGCTGCAGCAAGTGCTGTGGGGATGCTCTTCTCCCAACGGCCACGGGGTGGCGCCCGCCCTCCCACCCCTCTCCAGGATGGCGTGCTCTCGCAGTGGGGGCGTCTCAGGTGTGGCCCTGTGAGAAGGGCTCTGCTTACTGCGACTGCATTTTTTAGAAACCACTGCCCCTGTCGCCAGCCCTGTCTGCTGCCCTGGGACACATCCTGGGAGGGCTGGGCATGGGATGCGCAGGCTCACAGAGGGGGCACATTCCTGGCCCTGGCCCTTTGCGTCCTCCCTGCCGCCCACACTTCCTTCCCTTGGGCAGGGGAGGGATCGCCCATCACACTTCGCCTGAGTCATTCCCTCTCCCTAAGCTGGTCCCTAAGCAGTGTGCCGCTCGCGGCCCCATCCACACCTTCACTGCTGTCTTTCCCTGTCTCCTCTCTACAGACTGTCTGAACATACGGCTGACCATGGCAGTGGTCAGGGCCTGCTCCGAGGCCCTCTGGGCCAGTGCACGTGGCCATCCCCACCCTGGCCGCTCAGCTGTCCAACTGTGTGGGGCCTTTGTTCCCTGGTGCATAGAGCTGTCTGACCTCTGACCTTGGCATTGCTTTTCCCAAACATTCTCCCTCTTGGCTCCAGTCAGACCCTCTGAGAAACCCACCCTCTCAGCCCCACCTCGTGCTGTGGGTCGGATTTGGTCCCGGTGTGGCCACCGTAGCCGCGCTCACCCCTCCTCTGTCTGGCCTGTTGGGCTGCGAGCAGAGCACGGCTTCCGTCTGGCAGGGCATGGTTCGTCTCTAGGGCTGTTGTCCTTTGTCCCCCACGAAGAGGCTCACGTGTCCGTGTGAACCAGCCTGAGGGCAGTAGGGCAGTCATTCGCTCGGCCACCTGTGTCCTTGGATGGCCGCGGGCGCACGCCCCGGGGCCAGGCTCTCCGTCCACTTCGCATCTCTCCTCCACCTGCTAGTTAACTCTCCAAATGACCACGAACGCCAGAGCAGGGCCAGGCAGGAGCCAGGGGCTTCACCAGGGTCCCCCTCGTGTGCGGGGCCCCAGGCGCTTGGGCTGTCTTGGGCTGTCCTCCGCTGCTCTCCCAGGTGCATTGGCAGGGAGCTGGATGGGAATAGAACAGCCAGGACTGCAAGTGGTCCACATTAAATGTAGGCAGTGTCTTTACCCACTGTGCCACGGGCCGGCCTCCACCTCCTGTGACCGTTCCACAGTGCGGCTGCGCTCCCCTCTGTGGCTTTGTGTGGGCGTCTTCCCCACGAGGGTGGAGCTCAGCCTCCTGTGCACCTTCCCCAAACAAGATGCCAGGGGCCAGGGCTGCTGCTTCTATCCCAGAGCCTAACTCACTTGATTGAATTGAAAATGGGTGAAGGACCTGGCACTGTAGCCTAGTGGCTGAACCTCTCACCTTGTATGCACAAGGATTCCGTATGGGAGCTGGTTTGTGTTCCGGCTGCCCCACTTCCCATCCAGCTCTCTGCTTGTGGCCTGGGAAAGCAGTGAAGGCCGGCCTAAGGCCTTGGGATCCTGCACCTGAGTGGGAGACCTGGATGAAGCTCCTGACTTCCAACTTCGGATCAGCTCCGCTCTAGCCACTGGGGAGTGAACCAGAGGGTAGAAGGTCTCGGTCTCTTCTCTTGGTAAATCTGACTTTCCAATAAAAATAAATCTTTAGAATAAAAAGTAGGGAAAATCAAATTGAACAAGTTATAAGACTTCCCAGGGTCTCAGCCTGTCACCCTCACTTCCTGCAATGGCCGTGCCTGTGTGCGTGGGTCCTCTGAGCTCCAGACCCGGAGGTCTTTTCCCTAGCCCCTTGGGAGCCGCTCCGTCAGTGTGCCCGGGCCCTCGGAAGGCTGGTGCAGCAGTTCCCCATGGCACTGGGGCTTTCCGAAGCCTGGTTGTTCCCCCACTAATCATGAGCCAATGGGAACAGGGGGCGGGAACTCCGGCCTCACCACCCACATCCCTTTATGAAAGTGAATTACTAATTGACTGCTCTTAGGTAAAATTAATTTGCCTCCCGCAGGAAGGTTTGTGATGAATGGGAGGCTTGCTGACCGGGGAGGGCGCTGGGCTGGCCTTTGCGGCTGGCCATATTTCATAGCTGCAGGCGGCATTGGGGAGTTGCCCTGCCCTGGCTGACCTTGAACATTCTGGAAGGGTGGCTGGAGCCAGGGAGGTTTTATTGAGAGCGTTTATTAATAACCAAGTGCTTGAAGGAAACACGAGTGAGATTTGCCGTCTGTCTGAAGCGGATCGCGTTCACGTCGCCGGCAGCTGGAGGAGACGCCCAGCTGTTGGCAGCTGTGGGATGCAGGATGCAGCTGCAGCACCCCACCCCACCGCAGTGTTCAGGCTTGGTCTCCAGGGAAGAAAAGCCCTGCTGCACGGCCACGGGTTAAAGCTGCTGCCCAGCGTAGAGGGACACCAGGCGAACCCGCTGGGTGTGCCAGCTGCAGCACGCTGCTGTGCAGGCCAGCCGTTCCCGTGGTGCCCCCGCACCTCATTTCCTGTCCAGAGTGTGATGGGGCCTCGGGGTGGCACCTGCCTGTGCAGATGAGCACAGATGTTAATGTTGGGTTTTCTCTCTTCTCCCCAGCTGCCATTAACCTAGCCAAGCTGAAGCTTTTCCGACACTACTATGTCTTGGTGAGTCTAACGCAGCCCTGGCTCTGGCACGGAGCCCACGAGCTTCCGGACTGGGGAGCACCCACGTGTGTGGCCCGGAGCGCTTTGAGTTAAACTGAGTGGTATCTCTTAAAATGGGGAGTAGAAAATCCGAACTACTGTAAGAGTTTGGCTTTTAAATACTCGGAGAATAAGGTGCATGTGAAGTCAAATAAAAAAACAGCGTGGATGGAACTGTGGTGTGAGCCCTTGGTGGTCTCGCTTAGCCGTGCACCCCCCACCCCAGGGTGACTCCTGCAGCTGCTCCCACGATGTGCTGTCCGCCCTCACGCCCTCCCGCAGCCTGCTGCTGCCCCCAACACATGCTCCTCAGTCTGGCAGCATCCTCTATGAGCTGGCGCTGCTCGAGGCTGGCACCTCAAGCTTGCCCCTGGCTTGGAGCATTGGGCACGCTTCGCCCACGCTGCCAGGACCTGCTGCTGGGGCAGGTGGAGGGTGTCGCCCTCGCCGTGTGGCTTTAGTTTACTGTTACTGTGTCAGAGACTGCAGTGAGTCGCAGCCTTGGGAGCCTGTCTGCGCTGCCTGGTCCTCCCCCCGTGTCTGTGTCACCCGGAGCAGGGCTGAGTCCCTGGAGGGGAGCTGGCTGGGGGAGGGGGCAGGGCCATCTCCCTGCTGCGTTCAGTAACTAACCCCGTGTAAGGGCTAACCCCGTCCGTGTAAGGGCTAACCTCGTCTGTGTAAGGGCTAACCCCGTCCGTGTAAGGGCTAACCCGTGTAAGGGCTAACCCGTGTAAGGGCTAACCCCGTGTAAGGGCTAACCCCGTGTAAGGGCTGACCCGTGTAAGGGCTGACCCCGTGTAAGGGCTAACCCGTGTAAGGGCTAACCCCGTGTAAGGGCTAACCCCGTCTGTGTAAGGGCTAACCCCGTCTGTATAAGGGCTAACCCGTGTAAGGGCTAACCCCGTGTAAGGGCTGACCCGTGGAAGGGCTGACCCCGTCCGTGGAAGGGCTGACCCCGTCCGTGGAAGGGCTGACCCCGTGAGGGCTAACCCCGTCCGTGGAAGGGCTGACCCCGTCCGTGGAAGGGCTGACCCGTGGAAGGGCTGACCCGTGGAAGGGCTGACCCGTGTAAGGGCTAACCCCGTGTAAGGGCTGACCGTGTAAGGGCTGACCTGTGTAAGGGCTGACCCCATCCGTGGAAGGGCTGACCCCATCCGTGGAAGGGCTGACCCCATCCGTGGAAGGGCTGACCCGTGGAAGGGCTGACCCGTGGAAGGGCTCGAGGGCAGTTCCAGTTCCGAGTGCTGCGTGCTCACCTGTAGAAGCAGGTGCTGAGCCAGGCCGCGCTCACTGCCGTCCCCGTCTCCCCGCAGATCGTGTGTTACATCTACTTCACCCGGATCATCGCCTTCCTCCTGAAGCTGGCCGTGCCCTTCCAGTGGAAGTGGCTCTACCAGGTGCGCCACCGCGGACCCCAGCCCCGGGCCCCAACCCGGGATCAGGTTGGAGTTTTGGGGTGTGACTTCCGACAGTCACAGACATACTTGGGAGTTACCCCTGAGACCTCCATCTCTTCCCATCTACCGTGAAGATGGCTTGTGTGTCCCAGAAAGCTGCTGGGCCGCTCAGGCGGTCTGGAAGCCGGGGCACGGTTGGCCGTAGTTTTCATGAGGCAGGCTTGCCTTGTGTAGTTAAAACAGCCCACGCTGAGGGCCTTTCAATGACAGGCTTAGGGTCATTCACAGTCCACACTTCCCTTCTTTACTCATTAGCATTATTTGGGTCAGAAAATATTTGGACAATGAACAGAGCAAGTTGACATGCCAGGTCAGCTCACAGCTGCTCTGGAGTCTTGGCCTGGCAGCACCCGTGGGTGCTGTGGGGGTTCAGGGAGCCCTTCTGTAGGCGAAGGTGGAAGCTCACTGGGTGCTGTAAGCTGGAGCCTCAGCGAAGCCGGGGAGTGTGCTGGAAGCAGGCGATGGGTGTTGGAGAGGCCACGTCCCCTGAGCCAGCGTTGCTAATCCCTTCCTTTTGGGGTGGTTCTCCATGTGCAGCTCCTGGACGAGACGGCCACACTGGTGTTCTTCATTCTCACGGGCTACAAATTCCGCCCGGCGTCTGACAACCCGTACCTGCAGCTGTCGCAGGAAGACGACGACCTGGAAATGGAATCAGTGTAAGTCTCGTGTCTTCTCTCCCACCTCAGCCCCACCCCTCCCCGTGCCGGGGACCGGCTGCCGGCAGCGTTTGTCACTGCAGAGGTGGCAGCCCTGTGTTTAGCATATGACATGGATGCTGCGGCCTCGGGCTTGCAACTGCCAGCTGTGGCTCCGTCTGCTCAGGGAGGATGGAATGGCCGCGCTCAGGAGCAACCCGGGGCTCAGAACTGCCAAGAGGGCAGCCCCCCGGCCCGCCGTGCCGTGCTGAGCCTCCCCCGGGGTGTCGCCCCCACGCCTCTTGATGTCAGACGGGCTGCTCCCGGCCACAGGGCGGTTCTAGAAGGCCGTGGCTGAGCACCCCTGTGCCACCATGTCAGTGCCCTTGGGCTCCAGTTTCCTGGGCGAGGGTCTCATTTTCTGTAAGAAGACAGAGATGAGCATTTCTGCCCATTATCTGTGACAAATGGGAAGCCAGCGGGCCGTGCGTTCCAGCATGCTGCCTTCGAGGCTGGCGGCCTTGGGCCTTGCAGTCCAGCAGTGACAGGCTGTAGGCTGTGTGGGGATGGCTTTCTGTGCTCAGCTCTGTCATTGGGACAGAACTAACGGCAGGTCCTTTGGCTCTTCGTAGAGGGCAGAGGGGCCACTGCAGGGTCGCCCGCTGTGCCACCTCTGGAGGCAGCGGAATCCAAGTGAATCCTGTTGGGTGAGGAGTCTGAAACCCAAGGCAGCCTGGCGGGCAGTGACGGTAGTGGCTGGAGACGCGGTCTGTTCATCTGGTCCCCGCCCAGGGCCTGGCACTTGGTCCATGGGCCATGCACGGCCTTTGTTTGGGGCAGGGAGCCGGAAGCCGAGGCCTGCATCATGGTCCCGCCCACTGCACCCCTGCCCCCACCCCAGCCATGGCAGCTTAGAGGTAGGCGCACTTCCTGTCTCATAGCAAGACAAGCTGAGTTTCATCTTGCTGTTTCACTGCAGTCACAGTCGCCGCAGTAGTATGTGTGTGCAAACTGGGGGAGACTGGACAGGCCAGGGCGGGCTGGAATCCAGGGTATACCCTAGCTTGCCTCAGTTTACGTTCTGTGCCAAGGGGAGGGTGCCTGGGACATGCCATGTGCATTTCCAGGACTTGGTCGGAGCGCGTGACGTCTGCAGGGGTCTCCTTGTTCAGCAGGCCCCGGGGGGGCTGGGCCTGGCCTTGGACAGGGAGCGCCGGTTCTGTCACAGCGAGGCTGAGGAGTGTCTGTGTGGCCCAGGAAATGAGCCTGGGACGTGTCCTTTAAGCTGAGAAGGCTACTGTGGAATATGCTCTGTGGGTCGCTAGTTGGTGACCAAGTAGCCAGGCCCAAGATGGAGGCTCCACCCACTGCCCATAGGTGGGTATGACAGTCTGGGTATTCCAGAGACTACGCAGCACCTGTCCAGGTCTGGCAGCCCCACTCCTGTGGGAGGTGTGCCTGCATGGTGGTCCGTCCCCCCACTTCTGGTAACAGCCCCAGCCCAGGGCGCGCAGTCTCTGCCTCCATTGTTTAGTTGTTTGCCAGCTGACCCTTTATGGAAAGGGATGGATGGTGCTTCATAAAGTTTGGGGGAAATAGAATCCAGAGGTGCATGCAGGGAGTAAGCGTGTGGCCTGGTGGTTTAGATGCAGCTCCTGGTTTTCCTGTGGACTCCGGCTCCCTGCCCACACAGACCCTGGGGGGCAGCAGGGGCTGTAGTCCCCTTCCGCCCATGTGGGAGACTGGCTGGACTTCCCAGCTCCTGGCTTCAGCCCGACCCAGCTGTGGCTGCTAGGCCGCTTGGAGAGTGACCTGAGAGCCCAGCTCTTACTCGCGCACTCTGCCATTCATAGGAGTCAGCAAATCTACAAGCAGACATGGAAGAAGGGTTCCCTTCTCCACGGCAGAGCCCCCACTTCCTGCCTGCCTCATCTTCCCTTCCATCCTCAGAGTCCCCTGAGCTCTCCTGTGGGGAGCCCGGCCGGCCCTGAGGACCAGCGTCCTCGTGCTGATGTAGCTTCTGCTGTGAGTGGCTGGGCTCAGGGAGCAGCCCTCGGAGCCAGCCTGTGCCCTGCTGCTCGTGCCAGCTCTGCCCGTGCTGCCTTGCTTGGCATTTGTGGAGCACCCCCCACAGAGGTCTCAGAACATAGACCTGGCGTTCTGGGGATGTGCCTGGGAGCTTGGCCTTCCTCTGCACCTGTCCTGGCGGCCAGGCCTGTCACTGGACACTAGCTTACCACTGCACTGCCCATGCTGAGCTTGGCAGAGTGACCTGCCGTGCTGCCTGGCACCCTGAGAATGCACGCTAGATAGGGAGCAGCCCTTCTGCCAAGCTAGGACTCCCCGGGCGGGGCCTGTGAAGGACCTCCGTGTGTCCCTGTCCGGAGACGGCAGGCAGTGCATCCCGCCTCGGTCCCTTCCTTTCTTCCGGCCCCCATATCCAAGCTGCAAAGCAGCCAGTACCACTGGGCAAGGCCAGCAGGGCTTTCTGTGGGCACCCGAGACCCAGGCAGCCTCCCCACCACCTGCTGCCTTGGGCATCCTCCTGGGCTCCCTCAGCCCTGCCCGCCCTTCTCTCTCACCCAAGCCCAGGTAGGGCCTGCCGCCTCTCCACTGACCGCTCCCACTGCCAGCCCCCTCAGCTCCTGGGCGCCTGGTCACTGCTGTCAGACCTGAAACTGCCTCTCCTGTTTCAGGCAGGCCCAGCATGCCTGTCTCCCATCACTGGGAGCAGAGCGAGGCTACTAGCTGGAGCACCTTCCTCCTCCCAGGCCAGCCTCCCTGTCTTCATCTCAGTGCTCCCTACTCCCATCATGACACAGTTTCCTCCAATCTTCCTACACCTGCTTCTGGACCCCCAGAGTCACTGCTGTGGTCACCGACCCTAGCATAGAGTCCCTGGCTGCTCCCTCAAGTCACTCTGACTCCTGGGCCATGCCCGTCAGGAGTTAGCACCGAGCGCTGCATCCAAGAGCCCCGTGCTACCACAGCCCAGCCTGCCCCTTCCTTGCCCTGCCTGGCTGGAGCTGCACTGCCCCTGCCTTGCCCAGCCTGCCCCTGCCTTGCCCTGCCCGCCCCTGCCTTGCCCTGCCCGGCTGGAGCTGCACCGCCCCTGCCTTGCCCTGCCCGCCCCTGCCTTGCCCTGCCCGGCTGGAGCTGCACCGCCCCTGCCTTGCCCTGCCCGCCCCTGCCTTGCCCTGCCCGGCTGGAGCTGCACCGCCTCCGCTGTACTAGGAGGCTTCGGCTCTTTCTCCTCCACGCTCCTGTCCTTTCCCTTTCAGGCACTGAGCCTCTGCCCACCACAGTCCTCACAGCCCCCAGGCAGAGGCTGGTTCCCCTCTGTGCTGTGGGCTCACGGAGGGCAGTGTGTGCTGCCAGGGTCTTCTTAGGGAAGGAAATGGAGCAGAGTCTCCTGGCATCCTGCGGGCACCGTAGCTTGGCCACGGTGGGATCTTGTTGGACGGGGCGGCTCTGGGCATGAGCGCAGCAGGAAGGAGGGGAGGTCGGCTTGCCCAGGCAGTCTTATGCCCCAGCACCATCTGGCTGGGACCCCATGTCCCTGTGTGTCCAGGGAGGCTGGGTCTGGGGAGAGGTGGATGCGATGACTGTCCCTGCTGGCCTCCGGTGGGTGGGAGGTGGTGGCCCCTGGGGCTACGCAGCCTCCGCCCCTGGGCCAAGCCTCAGTCCAGCAGTCAGTCCCCTGGCCTGTCTGCAATGCACACGAGGGTTCTGGTCTGGGAGCTGACACCCTGGAGGCCAAGGCCACATCTCTGACACCGGGCCCTGGGCTGGTGGGAGCAGTCCAACCCGGCCCGGAGTGGCCAGAGGAGTTCCGCTGAGCCCTGCTTGGGTTCCTCGACTCCCGAGTGGCCCGCTCTGACTGGGTGCTGTAAGCACCAGTGCCTGGCAGGATGCGTGGAGGCCCCCGGGTGGGGGTGGGTGGCCTGACAGGTGGACGAGGCTGCGGTAAGAATGGAGTCGTGTTTATACCTAGTGCAGAGAGGTCGGGAGCTGGCCGAGGCTGCGTAGCTGCCAGGGCGTTGGTCTGCTCCCTGGAGCACGTGTGTCCCCTGGGGGGGTGGCAGCACCCTGATTGTCGTGTTTTGTTCCTCAGAGTGACAGCGTCGGGGGTGACAGAGAGCGTGAAGAAGGTCAGGAAGACGACCAACGGCTCCCTGGAGCCCCCAGGCGGCTGGGCGGGCACGGCGTGATGCCCCCGAGCCTGGCACCCCACACAGACTGTTCACGTGTCGATGGGCCTGCTGGCGATCCAGGGCACCTCCCGCCAGCGACCGCAACCACGTGGGCTCGTGGCTGGAGCCAGGGGCCACGCGGCCCACTCCGGCCTGTCGCTTTGGAACTGGGTCTGCGGCTGGTGGCAGGCAGCTAGCATTCTTCCCCTCAGGTGGGAGCGGCTCGTGGGGAGGGAGGGAGACAGGAGGAGGATAAAGGGAAGAAGAATCTTTTTAAATTCCTTTTTTTTTTTCCTACTGGAGCACACAGGTGCACACAGCTGTGCCCCGTGGGTGCCGCAGGCCAGCGCAGCGGTGGCGGCTGGGCAGGGGGCAGGAGAGGTGTGCCTGTCGTGTCTGGGCGCAGGGTTGACAGCCTCAAAGACCTGGTCAGATGCCCACTGAGGACCCCAGGAAGGGAAGGGGACAGTGCTGTTGCTTCCTTGGCTGACACAAACAAGTGAGACTGGTGAGCGGAGAGAGGCAGGGCCGGCACTGCGGCCGCGGGTCGCCCTCGCCCCCGGCTCCTGGCCCTGCAAGCCCCGACCTTCGCTCTGCACCCTGGTGGTGGTCGGGTTCAGCCGGCCCCCGAGCCAGTGGTCTCGGGCATGACTGTTAGGGTTGCCATCCTGGCACAGCTCTGCTGTGGGGAGCGGGTCTCGTGGGGGAGGTGTGGTCTGCTTTGGCAAACCACACCTCCCCAAGCCCGTGGCCCGGCTTGCTGGGAGCGCTCCCTCCTTCCCTTCCTGGGGCCTCTGTCCTTCCTTGTGGTCAGAATTTGAGGGGGAAAAGGAAGGAATTTCCCTAAGGGACAGTCGAAGGCAGGGAAGGTGTGTTCAAGCCAACACTTACACAGCAAATGGCCGCTCAGACGCTTCTCCTTTGGGCAAGCCCAGGTTTCTGTGTGGAGGAGTTGAGTGGAGCTGGGCCCCGGGCCCCAGACTTAGGGACGGGAAGGAGTGAAGGTGCCCGGTGCTGGCACACCGCAGTTCTTGTGGGGAGTAGATAAGGAGCTGCCCGCAGGGTCGTGACCGAGGGACTCGCATGTGACCAGAGCATGGCACCGGAAGCAGTTCATGCTTAGGCCTGGGGGCTTCTGGGGTGCCCGCCACTGTCCTGGGGCTGCTGTCTAACTGCCAGTTTGGGTCTGTCGCAACTGCTGCGTCCCAGGTTTGGGAACCTGAGGATGTCCCTTTGCCCCTCCCTGTGCTGGTGTCACTCCAAGTGAGCTGAGGAAGTAAGGCCCCTCGCTGTACCCCACGTGTCCTCCACCCTCTGACTGGGCCACCACTGCCCCTGGCCTCTGACCTCTGGCCTCTCGGGGTATTGGAGGGAAGGGGCTGGGCATCTCCCCATCTTGGGAGACGGCGACTGTACCCCAGGTGGTCACTTTGTGGCGGTGGCACTTTGTGTCCCAGTGCAGTAACCTGAGGCCGAAAGTGCAGGCGCAGGTGCAACTGAGCGTCTGGGCACTCCTGGGTACTCCCAGGAGTGAGTGGCAGCAGATGCCATCTCAGTGCCAGGCTCCTTGGCAAGAGCAGGAAGTGTGGTAAACCCTCCCTGCCAGGAAGGGTTCAGATTGGGGTCCGCGTTTCTCAGGCTGGGGTTGAGTGAGAGTGTGGGAGTGTGGACGAGCGCCGGTGAGCCCTGCAGCCAGGACAGTCATGAACCTGGGTACCCCTCATGGCCGAGTGTGTCCCTGGCTCATCCTCAGCGTGACTGCAAGGACACAGCTGTGCAGTCACAACCCTTCTGGAACAGGAATGCCAGAGGAGATGGGGTGGCCGGCCACAGCTTCCTGGCACAGAGCCTGCCTGCCCAGACGCGAGGGGCACAGCCAGCCGAGTGACTCCAGCTTTGAGGCAGCGCTGTGAGCCCTCCGCCCCTCCCCTCCCGGGGGGCCGGACCCCAGCAGCCATCAGCTCCACTGTTCAGTTAAGGTAATTGGGTCCAAAGCTGGTCGCTCCCTGTGCTGCCCTCCTGCTGTCTGGAGCCCACGGGCTCATGGTAACCAGTATTTGGACACTTAGGCTGACAGTGTTTCAGGGATCGGGCCAAAGAGCTGGGCTGCAGGGCGCAGTGCCGCCCGCGGTATTTATAGCTTTGCCTTGTGCTCCCCTTCGCCGCCCTGCCCACACAGAATACCCGTCTTGCTTTGAGAGATCCATGTGGGCCGGAAGTGCTGCCAGCTGCAGGTTTAGTAAATTGCATGCGTTTTGCTAGAAAATTACTTCTTGGGCAACAAGAGCAATCACCGACCCCCCCGGCTCTCGATGGCGGCAGGGAGCGGGTCGGCCTGCTCCGTGGTCCGGCATGCCGGTGTGCCTGCAGGAGGAGCTGGCAGCGATGGCCGTCAGTGTGCTGGACGACAGCTGGGTCTGCAGCTCCGCCTCCCAGGAGGATGGCTTGCTCTAGCATAAAAGGCTCTGGCCACACCAGTTTCCTTTTAGGAGGACACTTTATAAATGTCCAGGTCTGTCCCTGGAATGTGGCCAGCCAAGGCAGTGCAGCCTCCCAGCACACAGATGTGATACAGGATGGGCCCTCGCCTTTCCCTGCTTCCGCCACCTCCTTCCCTGCCCCATCCCTCTCCGCCAGGAGCCGAGGGAATGCAGGCCAGGAGTGTGTGGTGTGCGGTGGTGCCTCTTTTCCGTAGCCGAGTGGAGAGGTGTCCCCAGGGGACCTGCTGAGGTGTGGCTTGTGGTCAGAGGTGGCCCTGATGGGCTGCGGAATGGTGCCGAATACACCACTTCTAATTGCGCCATGTCTCCTGCAAGGAAGGTTCCTGGATTGCAATTTAGGGTTGCTGGCCCGGCTCCCGACACCTGGCCCGCTCTGCCAGCCTGTTGTGTCCCCATGCCCCTGCTGCCCCCTGCCCTTGGCCTCTGCCCTGGCCTCAAACACTGCAGCCTGCAGGCCCGGACAGCTGCTTCATTTTTCCCTTTATGGTTTAGTGAGTCAGTTAGATGCGGCGTCTCTTGGGTCATCAAGAAGGGTCCGTTTGCAGTATCCCAGGGTTGTCCACATGCATTCCCGCCGGGGGCTCTGGTGGGGAATCTGCTTGAGACACGCCCCCGAAGCTGCGCAGGGCCTGCTCCATCTGCTTGCGTGGCAGGGCCAGGTCTCCTGGTGATGTCGCCATGTGCAAGAAGCCCCGAAGGGAAGGGATGAGGCACATGTTAGCCCCGGTCAGCTGGCCCGAGGAAGCCTGCGGCATGGCCAGCCCAGGAAGGAGCAGTTCTGGGATGAAGGTCTGAGGGGAGCGGAAGAGCCCACTGACCCCCGAGGTGGTCGGCTCCTGACAAGGCAGGCTGGGAGCTTCTGAGGCGGCCAGCCACACCTGCCAGCGGTGCCAGCGGTGCCAGTGGTGCAAGCGGTCAGCTCCTTAGTCCCAAAGGTGCTGTTAGGATTGCAGGACCCAGAAGCTCCGTCCACCCAGGGCTGTTTCTTGACTTCCTCAGCAGCCCGAGCGGGCCTGGTCACCTGACCCTAAGAGCCGTCCATCAGGTGCCTTTAATCCAGAAGTTTCCTCACCTGCTGTCTGGGTCGCAGCGGGGGAAAGCAAGGGGATCTCCAGTGACTGCCGGGTGTTTCTGGGAGAGGGGGTCGGCGTGTGGGGAGAGGGGTTAATCGGGCTGTGTTGCACATGTGTACAAATAAAGATTCCATGGCGGAAGGAAGTGTGTGTTCGCAGTGCGAGGGAGGGCTTTCCTCCCCCTCCCGACTTTTTCCTCTGTGAGTTTTTCTTCATTAAATTCGGTAAGTGCCTCCCACCTGCCCCATAGACAATCATGACAAGTAGCAGGGAAGGTCCTGGGATCTTAGCAGAGTGGTGGCAGTGGCTAGTTCAACACCAGCGACCAAGCAGTGGGTGTGGGTTACAGGTATCCACGCTGGGAGCAGGTGCATGCCTTCACAGCCAGGTGGCGCTAAGTACTTCTGTGGGACAGACAAGCCACGTCCTCACTGGGCCCAGCTGGTCTTCCTTGCGCCTCCTTCAAATGCGGGCTGTTGGCTAGCCCTGCCCACTTCCCTACATCTGAATTGTCCAAACTCCCAAGTGGAGGTCTGTCTGATACAGTAGAACTGAATTCTGACAGGTGCACACACAGGTCCGAGGCCTCTGCTGCAGTCAAGGTGTGGGGCGTTTCATCAGCCCACAGGGTCCCTCGTGCCCATTCCCTGCCACACTGCGCCTTCCAGCAGTGACCCAGCACTGCTCAGGCTCCATGGCTTTGCTGCTCCGCACTGACTGGGCAAGTGGTGCCTTCCGGTTCGCCCTCTCCAGCGTCTGGCTGCCTTCACACCACACCACACACTGAACCTGTCTCAGGACTGCAGAAGCTGGGGCCTGGGGCAGGCTTGGCCACAGCCCCTCATAGCTAAGAAATGCCAGAGCCAGGGCTGGTGCCAGGTTAAAGCCTCCACCTGCAGTATTGGCATCCCATATGGATGCTGGTTTGAGTGGCAGCTGTTTCACTCTTGATCCGACTTTCTGTTAATGGGAAAGCAGTGGAGGATGGTTCAGGTCCTTGGGCCTCTGCACCCACCTGGAGACCTGGAAGAAGCCCCAGGCTCCTGGCTTTGGATTAGCTCTGGCAGTTGTGGCCATTTGGGGAGTGAATAAATGGATGGAAGATCTGTCTCTCTATATATTTCTGTCTCTGCTTCTCTGTAACTCTGCTGATGCACCTGGAAAAGCAGTGGAGGACAGCCCAAATCCTTGGGCCCCTGCACCCACTTAGGAAACCTAGAAAAGGCTCCTGGCTTGTTTCGGACAGGCCCGACTGGCTGTTGCGGATATTTGGGGAGGAGTGAACCAGCAGATAGAAGATCTTGTTCTGTTTCCCTCACTTTCTCTGTAATTCTGCCTTTTGAATAAAATATATTTTTAAAATGCGTCTGTTGGCTCTCGTATAGATTTGTGTTACACAAGCTTAGGATTGTGCGCCAAGTACAGGAGTGAAGGTGGCATTTACGGGGTACAGCTGCTCTCTCGTGATGCTGGCATCCTGGACTGGAGCACTGGTTCAAGGCCCAGCTGCTCTGCCTCTGACCGTCCTCCTGCTAATGCGCCTGGGAAAGCAGCAAGTGATGGCCAAGTGACCACACTGGAGCTGCTGGCCCCTGAGTGCTTGGGCCTCTGCACCCGCATGGTGGGAGACCACACTGGAGCTGCTGGCCCCTGCGTCTGTCCTGCCAGACCTGGCTCTTGCAGCCACTGGGAGAGTGAAGATG